GTTGAACTCAGGAGGATTACTAGTTCTCAGGATACACGGGTTCAAGCAAGGATTCTGGAAACATCGGAACAAGGACACAGAGGTTAGTAATCCACAGGTGAGTATACTTTACTTGTCGGGTGTTGACAGCATAAGAGAACTGGTGCAACTGGGGTAATGGTCTGTTCCTGTTGGAGGCTTGACAATGACTGAGGCTGTGGTGAGTGTTTATATGCAGAGGTTGATGGGGCTGTTGATTGTGAACAGGTGCAGGTGATTGGTAATCCGGGGAGAGTGATTGCAGGTGCGCCAAAGAGGATTCTGGGAAATGTAGTGCAAAGATAGACGGTGAACCGTGACAGCGAGGAGGATTTCACAATTTTGATTAACCTCAGATTATAAAATAGCGTTTTAGGTATTTTACAATAGTCCGGAAGTTTGACAAATTCACTTTTAAAATAAAAAATAATCTTTAAAACAATGCAAGGTCACAAAAACAGAAAGTATTGTAATCATTAAAGATTAAGTTGTTAATTTAAACTATTTTCGATTCATTATAATGTCACATTTAGGTAGACCGGCTTCCTACAGTATAACCCATTGACTTAATGAATGTAGGGAGCTAATCCAGTGAATGAAAACAGGATTTGCCTCTATAGAAAACAGTGATCAGCTGCATGGAAATAATCAGATCTTGGCTGCAAATCAATCCCACATCGCACAGCCACTCAAGCTGGACAATGTGTTTTCAGAGCTCACATACCAAACAACATCTAGCTAAAAATAAATTCACAAGCCACATCTCCAGGGCGTTTTGCCATCCTTCTGGGAATGCACAGCCATATGCTTAGCTACATCTCATCCCACGTCACATGACACACGAGCTCATTAGCCAGTCCACTCCAAGAGATCCGCGCGGCAGGGATGCGGAAGGGGAAACAACAATGTGAAAAGGTCAACTGCAGATGTCAGAGAGTGACAAGAATACTGAAAGAGCGGACACGTGCGATGACGGGACAAAACTGGCCTGGGTCTATGAGAAAAGGCCTAATCTACTGACTACTTTAAATAAGCTCATTAGACGGATTGCCAGTTTCCCATAGACCCCTGCCACTTTTTTAACTCTCACGGCACGCCATGGATATACTCAATCTACAATTTTTTAAACATGTCTAATGTTTTTTTTAATTATTCAGCATGCAGTTTCATAATAACTGAGATATGTGAAATAATGTCTGACCAGGACTATTTAGAAAGAGGATTAAACGGAACATTAACAAAACCTGTAAATGTCAGAACATATAAAAACTGCGATTTACAGGCCTGGAAAAGTCACAAGGAACCTCTAAAAGTCAGTGAAACAGCATGGGAATCTCAATAGTAAATATCACTTTTTCAAACAATTGTTATCTAAAAATAGCTTTGTCCAATTAAAATTCTTCTTTGTGTGCTCAATGTCAAAATAATAAATGATTAAATAAAAATAAAACGCATCCAGTATCATAAGCAAATAGCAGGATTATTATCCTTAACTAATATAAAACTAACACAAAATTTTCATTATTTAAAAAAAAACTAATTATAGATATAGAATAAAGTACTAAAATAACTAAACATTTTAATAAACTGAAACTTCTTTAAAAACTATAATAAAAATTACAAAAACACAACAAATTTACTAAAAATGTAACTAAAATTTATATATATATAGTTTCTCTTTCACATGTCAATTTTAGCCTAAAACATCTGAAGACCATCCTCCAAAACCTGACTATTATTCTTCGTAGTCAACATCTCATTTAAAAGCGAAAAGGAAAATGTCTCACGACTGGTCTTATCTTGTTAACCTGATAAGGTTGAGGTTTTTAACCCCCGTCACTGTGTAACCTTGTGTTCACCTCCGATATCTGGCTAGAGGAAGTGGATATGGAGGTCATTTATTTATTACTCTAGGCCAGGGGTCTGAACCACCAAAAGGTCTTTAACCTGAAGAAGGTTTAAGGAGACGCAGCAGGTGTTACATAAATGGAGTGTTGTATTCACATACTGTATTTCTTATGATGGTTACAAAGTAAAGACAATCATTATTATTGAATCAAATAGGCATGCAATGCATTACATACTCCCTCTTAAAGTTCCCCTATTATGCTTTTTTTAAGTAAGGGTTAATGCCCGACGAGGTGTCCATTGTCAGGTATTAATGGACGACGGCGAAGCGGATATATTCAAGATTATCTGTCATGCAGTGTGTAATATAACTAGGATGAGGTTTCCTCTAGGATTTTTTCCAGCCGTGGTGGCAGGCCCATTTCGCCAGGGGGAGGGGGCGTGGCCAATATTCCCATTGACCACGCCCCCTTGTCCCAGGTGTTTAAACCTCCCCTAAGCATTATAACATGAAAGGCGCCAATAAGAGCGGCAAAGCGATTATGCGCATCGTATAATGATGCACTTGAAGCAACGCGAAGTCACAGCGTGCGGCGCTTCGCATTGAAAAGTTCAAAGCACAAAGCGAAGAGATTATATCTATCTATGCTTAATCAAGTATTATATCTATGCAACAGTTTATTGAGCCTTTTCTTTTAACAGTTTTAAAATTTCAGTTAACTTACAGTGCGCATGAAGAACAATTCATAGTGCTCTCTACTCCAGTGCTGTAGTAACAGACACCCGGGAGAAAGGAATATGATTTAGAAAGCGCTATAAACTCCAGCAAGATAAAGTAATTTTATGCATCTGAATCTTTTACTGAATCTTTTATCAAACCGTTTCAGACACTGTGAGAAAAGAGTTGAATCTGCATTGTATATTATGAGAAAATTCACATGTTTTTTTTTTACCTTGGATGCATATAAACCTGTTGGAAACCTTTAAAATAGCATAGGGGCACTTAAAAAAAAAATGCCATCAATGAATCCATGAAGAAACTTTAACATCCATGGCACCTTTCCATTTCACAAAAGATATAGTGGAAAAAAGGTTAATAAAAATGGTTATTTTGAGAACTGTTCTTTGGGGAACCCAAAATGGTTCTTCTATGGCATCGTTGGGGAAAAAAACCTTATTTACCTTTATTTTTAAGAGTGCGCGACATTTTCATTGTACTAAATACATTTCACAATGAAACATTTAGTTGAACAGGGAACACTTCATTACTTGAACAACAGAAGTCAATGTCAAAGTGTATCTGAAAAGAAATGGACAAAAGCAGCTAAACAATGACTAAACCTTTGGTCTGGATGTCTTGAATATGAAGCAACAACAATAACAACAGCCATGGCGGGCCAGCAGACTATTAACAAGAATTGCAAATGAGATTAGGCTGAGTCTTACGTAACATGTGTGACTAAATCCCTGATTCAGGATACTACAACACACACCTAGGCAATAGCACTCGTCACCTGTAATAAGATGAGAATCCACATCAAATCACTGGGCAAATTAAAATCTAAGACTGCAGCCTCTCTGTTTAAGGCTGATACAAACAACATCTAATGCACAGGAAATTAAAAATGCACCAATAGAGGACCTCAGCGAGAGCGGTGTATTTCATGAGAACGCTGCCTATAATAACTCTACAAGTATGAGAACAATGTTTGAGGCCACCACAGTTTGAGTTACTCCCAGTTTTTATGAAGTGCTGCTTGAAATATTGTTGTTATTGTCCTCTAAAACTATTCGAAAGTGCAGTCAAATCAATTTCTCGTGATTAATTGCATCTAACATATTTTATATGTATATTATATGTGTGTGTGTCACACATTTGTGTGTGATTTGACAGCACTATTAAAAATAGTTGTGCTAATTAAAACAAAGCTCAAATAAAATATAGTTATTAGATCAAAATAAATAAACAGAAAACAATTCAATGAAAATTAGAATTGTAACATTGGCATCTAACTGAATAGCCTAAAAAAACTGAAGTACTTAAATGACTAAATCTGGAATAAAACCAGAAATAGGCTATAATAACAAAGAACTAATAAAAATAACAAAAGCACATAGGCTAACAAAATTACTACCACTTAAATAATGAAAACTAAAAAATAGATGGCAATTAAAATATGAATAAATACGATAAAAATAACACAGGTTCACACATTAACACTGGCTTCTCTCATACACACACATTTAGATATGTCATATTCACTCTCTTTAGACCTTCATTCAACTTTCAATCACTGTCAAAACAACAGACAGTCTCTGATGACTGAGGTTTTCATTATGAGAGTTCATTTTCCTATAACCAAAGGAGGCGGAGGCATCATGCACGAAAAATTTGAAATTTAAAGCTGTTCTCATTTTTCTAAGAGAGTTGGGAGGGTTATATATTCTGCACAATTATACTTTCACCAGATGGTTTCATGTAGAATGTGTTAAATAGATGTCAAACTCCATCGCGGGTCCATTAACCATGTCTGAATGTCTTCTCATTCATTCAATCCATCAGAGATATTTATAAACCAAATAAATAGTAATATGCTGATGTAAGTTACAACTGCACACCCCGCCCCCTCAAACACACACACACACACACATGCAATATGTGTATCATCTCACACCATCTCATTTATTTGGTCACCATTTAAACCACTTGTCACATATGTAAACTAACAACAAACTGCTTGACAGTCCAGTGTGGCATTACACAAACGAACACACAACAAATCCAAGTGAGCACTGTTACACTTTAGTTTAAGATGTCTGTGTTACAGTGTCATTCAAGTACTGTGTAATAACAATTAACTACATGGTTAGATAGGGGTTTGGTTTAGGGTTAGTTGCATGTAATTATGCATAGTTTATAGTTATTAGGCTACTAAGCAGCCACATGTTGAGACTGTAAAATAAAGTGTTACCACCAAGACAGCACTTTTGGGCATCATAATAGACCTTGAACGTGCCCGTGATGCTGTCTAGGTAGGCAACGCACTAGGTTTGGGAACACAGCCCGGCTGCGCGTGCACACAGTAAATGTACAGTATGAGTAGTGTGCTGAAAGTAAGCAGAAAGTGAGTTACCTTTGGAGTAGAGGGACTTGGGCGAATCGAGGTCGATATCCGCGCTGAAGAGCGTTGTGAAATCAGAGGGCATCGCAGATCCTCCGACCCGCCGAGAAAATGACAGACTTGCTCTTCAACCGCAGCTTCTAACAAACTGCCATCGTTTATTTGACCGAAACGAAAGACGAAAACGAACAAAAGCCAGGTGTCGAAAAAGCAGGCAATGACACTTCTAAATATCATTTAAAAAACTGTTTGTGTCGGCCAGCGCTCTTCGTAGTGTGTGTATGTATTTGTGTGTGTGTGTGTGTGTGTAAACACTCAGCCAGCAGCACGACTCTTGAAACAGTTGTCTGTTTCCTCTGCGGCCCCGCCCACTCCACGCGTCATCACTTCAAGAGCAACGCGTTCCAAACACAGGTTAATTAGATCAATAATAAATATAGAACTCAGATTTTTATTACAGTGACATAGAATGGAAAGAATTCTGTCTTTTTCGACAAAATTCGTCTGTCCAACAAAGTTGTTAAAGTTTCTTTTTAAATTATTAATAATTGTTGGCCTATACCTAAACTATAAACTTAAATGCCCGGTTTCACAGACAAGGCTTAGGCTAGTCCCAGACTAAAATGCATGTTTGAGTTTTAACTGAAAGCGACTTGCACGGACATATCACTGCCATTGTTTTGTCTCAAGATGCACACCATGTAATCTTTTTTTCTATAAGGCTTGTTTATAGAAGCTACTTAAATGTCCTAATTGAACTAAGGCCTAATCCTGGCTTATTCTTAGGTTCACCTTGCTAGTACCGGGTTGGACCACGTTTTGCCTTCAGAACTGCCTATAATTATTTGTGGCATATATTTAATATGGTGCTGGAAACATTCTTCAGAGATTCTGGTCCATATTGACATGATAGCATGTCTGTGCTTTAAAAAAAAAAAAAACAGTTTCTGTGATACTCAGCCCGTCTGGCACCAATAACCCAGCTATAACTTAAATCACATTTCTTCTCCATTCTGATGCTCAGTTTGAACTTCAGCAGATCATCTTGATCATGTCTACATGCCTAAATGCATTGAGCTGCTGCCATATGATTGGCTGATTAGATATTTGTTTTAATGAGCAGTTGAACAGGTGTAAGAAAGAGGACAGTGAGTATATAAAGTATAAAACCATTAAAAATGATGACTCTCTGACCCTTGACATATGAAGTTTATAATTATCTACTCTAAAAATGCTGGGTTGTTTTAACCCAACTTTGGGTCAAATATGGACAAAACCAAACGTTGGGTTAAAAATGTAATTAAAAATGTAACCCAACGGCTGGGTTTGGCCATATTTGACCCAAACTTGGGTTAAAACAACCCAGCATTTTTTAGAGTGTATTTATTATTACAATTCCTCGTGAAATGTAAACTTGGCCAAGTAAAGTTTGTTGAGTAATTTCTTCTTAGTTGAAGTTTAGCTACTTTGCAATACGCTGTTTCAAGTGTACATTTTACAAAATACAATATGACACTGAATTAAGCTATGCTTTTTAATTGTATGCTTTACTTAGAACATCTAAGTAAAAATAATGCAGTAGATATTGTATACAACATTAGAAGTAATGTGGCACCCACTTAAACATCAACATTTTTTGCTCATCAAATGTTCGTGGAACATGTTTCTTAGAAAACAAACATGTTTAACAAAAGCACCCAATCAGTGTCCCTGAAGGGTCATGCCGTTGCCAGTGATGTTCTGAGGAAAAATTAAAGCATTATTGTCTAGGAACAGCGCAGGCTGTGAGGACTGTTTGACACAATGTTTGGCAGCTTGACACATGATTCATGTTCAGCAGATTCACCATTGTCCTCATACAATGGATGTTAAAGGGTAGTTCACCCAGAAATGAAAGTTCTGTCATCATTTTCTTTTTGGGTGAACTATCCATTTTTAAGGTGCACCATTCAGAATTAAATTGAGAATGCCTTTTAAATTCCAATTCAATTCCTGAATTTCATTTGAGGTACACGATCGAATTTGAATGTAAGGAAAAATTGCAGTAATTGTTAACAAGAAAAGCTTGTCGAAACAAAATTTGACATTATGAAAGTTTCAAAAACCTTGAAATGATGATGTAAGCAGTTGTTGACATTTACTTTTTGTTTTACAGCTATTAATAAATTAATTATAATACAGCATTGTATCATTATAAATTGTGTTTATTGCCTATAAATCTGCAAAGCAAATGAGATTCGCTGATCAACTTAGATAGATTTACAATTGTTTAATCATTGACGAATCATTAATAATAACTCTATAATACCTCTTTATATTTACGTGTCATTTGTCTCTCATGGATCTGTCACAGAACCCATTTAATATTCAGACCTCACAGCAATACTTCACTATCTCTCAAAGTTCACAAAATGTGTGGGGTCAACTTCTAATTACTATGAAATCAAAATAAAAAAATGTTCAGAAGGGTGATGGACCTAGTTTTTATAGCCCTGTATGATTTGATCTGTACTAGATGTATAACTTCTTAGACCTCACAGTGATTTATTACTCTACAATGGACATATCGACCAAACATTAAGGTCATTCTATGATGATTCATAAGGTGATGTCAGAACAGCGTAAATTATTTGCCCTCTATTTACAAATAGATTATGTTGGAATTGTTGACACTTTTTATTTGACTTTAGAGAGACTCCAATTAATTTGTCAGTACATATATCAATTGACTAGAATTAGTTAACTTGATGACTCTCATATAAATAACCAAATATATAAATTTAAATGTATCTATGCATGAAGTAACACTAAACACGATAAACAGCGCCATCTGGTGTCTAAATGATCGCTGCACTATAAGCAAACAAAACATATCACAATGCCCATGCATTCACAGATAAAAGCATACTGAATATTTTCGTGATTGAAAATTAATTATATCGAAGGTAATGTATTGTTATATTGCAATGCTCATCTTGATTTTAGATGAAAGGGTGTAATTCCTCCTTCACTCCAGAGGGCGCTCGCGTGCGTCATGCTGAAGCGCCACTGTGGGAAACAAACACGAAGCAGAAGCGGAACAAGCGGAGAAGCGTCCATGAAACTGGCGTGCTGAGCAACAGAAAAACAATATTTTTTCCATAAGTACTCGGATTTATTGAGTGAAAATGCCGGACTTAGCGGTAGAAAGGGTCGTCGTTCATCCCCTGGTGCTATTGAGTGTCGTGGACCATTTTAACAGGTAAATATGAGTGTTGTGGTGTTGCTGTAGTAAAACTGTTAACTCACTGTCATTATGGCAATGAAAGTAGCCGCTACAAGCTAAAGGCTAACTGGATGTAAAAACATGAAAAGAAGCAACATTTTAAGTGTTTATTCATTGAGGCATACCATATTATGGAGTTGCATATCGGCTGAACTTAATAATATTAAAGTTTATGTTAAAACGTCGTCTTGTAGAGGCACCGATATCTGTAAGTCAGTTATGATTATTAACATGTAACTTACAAATAATTTTATTTGCAAGAAGGGCTGTAATCTATCCAACAATGACAATTCAATACACACACTATATAATTTAATAGTCTGCTATAATTTCAATATTGAACCAAAGTATTCCTCGGTTTTTGTTGTTGTTGTAGTATTTGCTTCATTGATACATAACTTTGCTGTATGACATATTTATCTATATTAGTATAAATTCTAGAATAAACTTAGCTTTCTGAACAGATTTATAAAGTGGTATACATGTTATACACTTATATATTCAAAGAGCCATACATTTATACTTTCAAAAACATTCAATTTGTCTATTTTTGTATTGTTTGTAAATCTTGTCTTTGTTTGGTAGGATTGGTAAAGTTGGCAGTCAGAAGCGAGTTGTTGGTGTTCTGCTGGGTTCATGGCATAAGAAAGTGCTTGATGTGTCCAACAGCTTCGCTGGTATGCTTGCATCTCTTGGTGTAAAATGCATTTCTTTCCTGTTGAAATATAATGTAAGTAATGTCTCGTAATTGTGTGCCAGTGCCTTTTGATGAGGATGACAAGGATGATTCAGTTTGGTTCCTCGACCACGACTATCTGGAGAATATGTACGGCATGTTCAAGAAAGTCAATGGTAAGATCCCTTGCTTAACTATGCACATGTCAAGAACCAATGTTATATTTTATACAGTCTGTTATGTCATTGTTATAGAACATGACCTCATGCCCCAGGTCTAATAGAGTCGTGGTGTTGTTTCTTTCAATTCTAGCACGGGAGCGAATAGTTGGGTGGTACCACACGGGCCCAAAGCTGCACAAGAATGATATTGCCATAAATGAGCTCATGAAACAGTACTGCTCCAATTCGGTATGTAATACTGTTTATTTTAATACTGTATTAGCTTAGTTGTACTGGGTTGAATCTGACAAAAGCATGTCTGAGTAATGTTTCATTATAAAATTAAAAACGGATATATTTTGCATAAAATTATACAAAATAATTTTTATTTTACATACATTTTTAAAATATATAAAATTAATATTTAATATAATTTTATGCTAAATATTCAATCTTTTTATCTGTAATATCTAGGGATGCACAGGTCAGGATTTTTGCAGACAACCTGCTCTAAATGAAGATGTGCAATTTACTATGGTTTACTAATGTTTCGCGAAGTTACAAAGCAGAATGTGGCGCATAAGTTAGTTTTACGTCCTCAAATTGCGATCGGCCACATTTAGTGACTACCGATCGAGTCATAGAATGTGATTGTCGGCCGATGCCGATCGATTGGAGCATCCTTAGTAATATCTTCATCTGTAATAATATTTTTGTTTATTTTTTTATTAATACACAAATTATAGTTAAATAATTAATACTAATACAAATATTTAAAAAACTTTGTTTTTAGTAATATTAACCTTGTCGGCATTGTGAATGTTTTTGAATTTCCACTGTCATTCGCGATAGTAATTCACATTACATAAATTTTTTACTTGATGCTTGAATTACAGTCAGTACAACAAATATTATAGTGATGTATAATTTACAATTTAAGTCTTATATTACCTATTGTTATTTTTTTGATTTACAGTAATGCAATTTTTTTTAAATGTATTCATTACATTTAAATCCTCTGCCAAATCGCATTACTGTAAATCAAAATAATAACAATAGGTAATATAAGACTTAAATTGTAAACGCCACAATACAAAAATAGGCTCAATTTTCTTTACGCAAAATATAATTTCCTATTTTTCTTCTGATTTTGGGTTGAAATGTATCCTGTATCTTTTTTTACTCTACCAAAGCATAAAAAATACCATAATATGTTTGCATATGTTTAGGAAACGTACTCGTTGATATGAAAACACTTCTACAGCCAGTTATTTGATTTATTATTTTACACATTCCGTGTTGTCAGTCGGGGTTTGTATTGGTCTGTGTGATCTCGCCCACTGCCGGTTCACCCAGTAGTATTTCGAAACCCCGGGATGTCAGTTGGCAGGAAACACAGCGTATTGCAGCCAGCAAACAAACTGGGTCAGAGATTGCAGATTCCACACAACCTAAAAAACGTCGGTATCCATCTAAAAATCTCTATGAACGAGAGCATATTAAAACATGGATAAATCAACTCATCAACTTACAGTGTGTAAGTCTCCTGGGCTTTTATTGTCAATTGCGCTCATTTCAGTTGCGTGTCCTCAAACTGGCAACCCGCGTGAGCGTCTGAGGAGGAGGGGAGGGGGAAGCAACGATCTTTGATATTTTGAATTAGGACTGCAGTACCTATTTCAACCACTAGCTGTCATTCTTACAGACAGCACCTTTAAGCTTATTAAATTCCTTTGTATTTTCCAAAAGGTTTTAGTCATTATTGATGTGAAACCCAAAGACCTGGGGTTGCCAACTGAAGCTTACATCTCAGTGGAAGAAGTGCATGATGTAAGTATTTGTGCTGTTCTATTATACGTTAAGTTAAGTTTGTATCTCTCATGCTAATTGTTGACATTTACTCTTTGCTGAAGGATGGAACTCCCACTTCTAAGACGTTTGAACATGTGACCAGTGAGATCGGAGCAGAGGAGGCGGAGGAAGTGGGTGTTGAGCATTTGTTGCGGTAAGACGGAGACAAACCTGTACATTATTGATTATCGGATTCATTTTACATGTATTAAAGTGCCCCTATTATGCTTTTTTGTAAATTACCGTTCATGTAGTGTAATATAGCTGTTTGTGAATGTAAAAGCTTTGCAAACTTTGAAAGATCAAAGTGCACGACAAATTATTATTTTCTCCCAAAAGAATCGATTCTGAACTGCCTGAAAAGAGTCGTCAGCAATTCCAGTCTTACTTCCTGAACAGACTTATGTAGGTTTGTAACAGATTTGCAAAAGTCCAGCCCATAGTATGATCTTCATTGGCTGCCCGTGAACAACGTCTACTTTTACCCACCCTAAAAATTGTGTTGTCATTGCTAAAGCATGGAAGAGTTTGCTTCGTGTTGTCGACATTACTAGAAGACGGTATTTTCTGCGCTGCGAAAGCAAATCCACTTTGCTTGCACTTCCAAAGATGAGGACTCACGCTGGTATATCGATACCCCATTGTTACTGTTTGTATCGCTGTTTATGCAAGTGCTGAGGAAGATCCAGAGCTGAAATTTCGATATGTTAATGGTTGTTTAGTTTCCAACACGGTCGACCAATCACAACAGACTGGGCCATCTGACCAATCAGAACAGAATAAGGTTCTTGGAAAGAAGGGGTTTAGAGAGACTGAATCTTTTATCAAATTGTTTCAGACACCATGAGAAGAGAGTTGATACTGCAATGTATATTAGGAACAAAATTGTGTTTTCTTGACCTTTGATGCATGTAAACTATTGTAGGAGAACTACAAAGTAAAATTAGGAACCTTTAAAATGGCATAATAGGGGCACTTTAAATCATCTGTCAGCAACCTAGTTTATTTATTCTCATGATGCTTTCTTGCAGTGATATCAAGGACACAACAGTTGGCACTTTGTCACAACGCATCACCAATCAGGTGCATGGCCTGAAAGGGCTCAACTCCAAGCTGGTGGATATCAAGAGCTACCTGGAGAAGGTTGCAACTGGAAAACTACCCATCAATCACCAGATCATTTATCAGCTGCAGGACGTGTTCAATCTTCTGCCTGATGTCAACCTGCAGGAGTTCGTCAAGGCCTTCTACCTTAAGACCAACGACCAGATGCTTGTGGTCTATCTGGCCTCGCTCATCCGCTCTGTAGTGGCACTCCATAATCTCATCAATAACAAAATCGCTAACCGTGATGCAGAAAAGAAAGAGGGCCAAGAGAAAGATGACAGCAAGAAAGAGAAGAAGGACGAGAAGGATAAAGATAAGGACAAAGACAAAGAGAAGGGAGATGCTGCAGCCAAGAAAGATGACAAAAAGGAAAAGAAATAAACCTAAACTGGCATGAACTTGGGCTTACACAATCTTGGCTGAATAAAGGAGGAAGTCTGCGTTTCTTTGCCGCCTCTTTTAACAATCTCCAGGCTAAATCGGCCATTGTGTCTGTCTTTTTGATATAAAGGACTTATATTCTGTTGTGATTAAAAGAGAGAAAGAAAGAAATTTACTTCAAATGTTTTTTTCTTTCTTGAGGTTTTGGTCCTGATCAAGGTTGACCCATTTACATTTATATTAGTACCATTATTAGACCATCGGAATATTAGGACAAGTGTCCAGTGTTACAGCAAAGCCCAACTGCAGCCATGTCATTGTGTCATTGTATTTACACTGATGAGATTTCTTCTTCTTTTTTTAATCATAAACAGCAGTCATACAAGCTCCTGTGGCCTAACCTGTTTTATTTTGTTCACTACAGTGTGTTACAAGTTCACAAAAGTACATTCTCAAAACATGTCTACTGTAGTGTTTATTCAAATACGTTTTTCCTTAGTAGTTTATAAAAGATGTTTCAGAAATAATGTGCTCTAAAAAAGTACATTTTGCTTTTACTGAAAAAAATTAAAGTTTGATCAAAAGTGCCATATGTTATTGCTGAAGCAGAGTTATTTTTTAAGTTAATTCAGCAGAGATACAGATATTTGTTTTCTTTGTGCTGATTAAGTAACTGAAGACAAAAATGCAGAAGGTCAGTTTGTACATCCTCTGAGGAGCACAGGCCAATGATGAGGACTAGGTATTCTTGTCACCATGATGAATTTCTTCGGCTTCTTTCTTCTTAGATTTGATCCCAAAAAGACTGAGGATCTTCACCAAAATCAGGTCGACGATTTCCTCTTCCTCAGAAGGCTGAGTACCAGAAGAGTAATTTCAGTTATTAAAACTTAAACCATATTTGGTGCGTGCAATGTTATTGACTTCACCTGTAGACTAAGGCCGCCTTTACATTACATGGTTCAAGTGACCCAATTCCGATTTTGTCCTCCCATGTGGCACAGATCGGATATGACCCACGAACGTGTAAGCAGGAAAAAAGCCCATGGATTCCGATATTCTCAGATCGGTTTCAGGCCTCATTCATACGTGGAAATAAATCTGATATGAATCTGTTACGTGCGTTTGAAAGTGATGGTGGCGAATAAACCGCAATCACTCTTTTCAATGGAGCAAATGGAGGACGAAGGCTCAACTCAATGTTTTGCTGACCTTTAAAGCAGGGGCGTAGCCAGAATGTTATTTTTGGGGGGTCCCGTCTTTAAATGAGGGGGCAACATATATATATATATATATATATATACAAATTTTATATATACAGGGCCTATTCTGGTGATGCGGTGGCGACTCATGTAACATGTAAGGGTGGCGCTGCCAATAAAGCACCTAAAAGCGGTCACAACCGGCAAAAGTAAGGATTGTGAATATGAATATAGCAAGGAGATATTTTAATTGTTTATTAATAAACAAGTGTTTTCTTTGTCGGCTAAGATGAAGTTGACGATGCTGACTCGCGATCTTCGCAGTAGTGAACGAGCCAGAGAAAATGCATTACATAAGCAGAGAGCAGTCTGTAGTCTGTTTTTTTTTCGTTTTGAATTGTTCTGTTTAAAAGTAGACATGTGAGGAGGCAAGTAGGCTACCTTATACGCTGAGTTTCGGTTCATTAATGAGACGAGCTCCAGTTCACGCGCCGGCGCCTCCGTTTCTTATCTATCGTCTGCTATATTTACTTCTTATTTATTAAATCCAGGCAATTGGTTGGTGAAACATTGATTAAAATTAAGATACAATTAATACAAAACGAAATTCAGGTTAAAGAAAGGTTTTGTGCTTTCTGTTTGATGTCTCTGTGAAAGTTTTAAAGTCTTAAAGTCATCTTTAATCTTTTAGTGCCGCTTTCAGAGCGCTCACGTCCGTAACATTGTTTTTTCCTCATAAATGCAAACACGAAAAATAAAATAAAATGAATATTTTATGGACTGTGGAGACTGAGAGCCAACCCTTATTCATCCGGTGGGTAGTATTACTTTGGTTTGCGCAGTGTAATTAACAATCACAAAATAATTTTTTTTTTTTTTTTTTTTTTTTTTTAAGCAATCAAAAATCTGAGGGGGCCTAGAGTGGCTACGCCACTGCTTTAAAGATGATGTGGAAAGCAAAAGATTGTATTCTCATTTTGTCTGTATCCCTTGCAAATCGCACCGTTTTTACTTCCTTTTCAGCCTAAGCTTTTCCAGGTCAGTACGTCTACCTTGGGTTGTTCCACCAAGTACATAATGTAAAAGCAGATATAGGATATGGGTCACTTTTAAAAGAAGATAATGTCAATCGGAATTGGGCATCAAGACCTGCAGTGTAAATGCAGCTAACAGTAGTTACTCGGTATCAGTCGTTAGTTAGACTGAAAAATGAAAGTGACTCATAAAACACCTGGTGATCCTGCTGTTCTTCACTGAACGCCTCAAGGATGACTGAGACAAAGAGGGTCAGTATCACAAACGTAATGAAGATGACACAAGTGGAAATGATGAGAGCGCCGAGCACGGGATCAGATTCCATCACCTGTAGAGATAAAGCAAAAGCTTTTCGGTAACACTTTACAATAAGGTATCATTTGGTAACATTAGTTAATGCAGTAAATAACAATGAGAAATATATTTTACAGCATTTGTTAATAAAAATGTTCTTCGTGTTTGTTCAAAGTGCATTAACTGTTAACAGATACAACTTTTGATCTTAAAACTGTACAAGTAAACATTAACTAAGATTAATAAATGATGTAGAAGAATTCTTCATGTTAAGTAATGGAGTTAACTAACGTCTTACCAGCTTTTCTGTGTTACTTTCCCAGTCTTGGCCTGTAAATCATTTTACATACCTCATCATAATTGAACAAGCCAAACTGCAAACTGAAGATTGTCTTGAACGCATCTGGGAACGTTTTGTACGAGTACAGCTTCCATCCAAATATTAGATTGCACTATCGAAAACAAATAAATGGTATTGAAATGCACCCAAAATGGAAGTCTATGGGGCAGCTATTCAATGTTTACTGCATAGACTTCAATTGTAATGTGCTCCTGTCAAAAGATAGTTTTTGGCTTTTTTAAATATAAAATCTTGTTTTTGTTTGATTTACAAACTGATGAGCAAACAGAAATTGTCTGTGGTACTGTGGCTGCTTATAGAGCTAAAAGGTGTCTGTTTTTCAATGTTAAGACACGTTTATGAGCCAAAACAGTATTTTAAAGTCATCATGAAATTTTTATTTTTTATTTTCTCTGATTATGTATTTACTGGTGTGAGGGCGGGACAACATGTCACTCACATGAGAGTGACCAATAATAGCAAAATTAAGCCATTCAAACAAACCGATCAATTCCCCATGGACAAAATCAAGTCCTGCCCTATATTTTTTTCTCATTTAAGAAGCTGTTTCACTTGGTTATACATCCCAATGGTAAGAAAAGGCTACCACAACTTCTGTTTCATGTTGACTTTAAACTGTTATTGACAGTAAAAATTTGTTACCCCTTACAGAGAGAGAATAGGCCAAGAGGATAATGAAGATAACCACAATGAAACTGGACATTTCGTTCCATGCCCGCTGCAGTGAGGAGGTGATGAGGTGTAGTTTAGGGTTGAGTCTCAGCAGATGCCAGAGTTTCACACAGGCCAGGAGAACCAAGAAAGCCATGAGATATCCCAGTGTAGCATCTATGACAGCTGTGTCGTGGAAACTGGGAAACCTAAAAGACAGGAATAGCATGTTCAGTTCACCCATCCATTCTCCAAACCTGTCGAGTCGTGGGATGTTCAATTCATGCTCATATCAAAACATTAGAAAGAAACGATCTACTTACTGATCTTTGTCTTTCTGGTAGTATTCAATGTCTTGGTCTCCCTGCACTGTTCTCTTGATGAACACTGATAATGAACTCCAACTTAAAATGATGATGGCCAGGTCTAACAGATTCCACTTGTTTTTGAAATATGCCCATTTCTGCCGCTTCAGCAGCTTTCCCTGTTCAACCACAAATGTGAATGGTTTAATATGAGCATTGCAGTTTAAGGAACGGTTCACCCAAAAGTTCAATTTCTATCATTATTTACTCAAGTACTTCTTTATTCTATAAAACAAAAGAAGGAGATGTTTAGTAGGGGTGTAACGGTACACATAAGTCACGGTTTGGTACGTACTTCAGTTTTGGGGTCACAGTTCGATACTAGTACGGTACAACAGGAAAAAGCAACAAATCCCCAATGCTAGGTTTATTTTCATTTATTTTGAACAGACAGAAGTGCAAATTATAGTTTGATCCACCAAGCATTTAGTCCCCCCTAAAGTAGTTGGTACAGTTCAGCTTCCTTTAGTGTATTAAAGGGATAGTTCACTTTGAAATACATTTTTGGTATGTTTTAGCTTACCTCAAGGGCATCCAAGATGTAGGTGTCTTTGTTTCCACAGTAGTTTCAATTTTGATATTTTTAGGTCAAACCGTTCTTGTCTGTCAGTCATATAATGCAGGTCTATGGTCACCACCTCAAAGAGCATGCACAGAGAAGTCCAAATTAAACATGATTTAATGACTCGTAAATGTTAGTACACATTGATGGCCTAAGACACGAAACGAGCGGTTTGTGTGAGAAAACGAACAGTATTTATATTGTTTTTACCTCTTGTAAACACAGCCACATCCAAGTGATCTGAGATCGCCGGCGCTTCGGTCTGTGCGTTACAAGAGGTAAAAACGATATAAATACTGTTTGTTTTCTCACACAAACCGCTCGTTTCGTGTCTTAGGCCATCAATGTGTACTTACATTTACGAGTCATTAAATCATGTTTAATTTGGACTTCTCTGTGCATGCTCTTTGAGGTGGAGACCATAGACCTGCATTATATGACTGACGGACAAGAACGGTTTGACCTAAACATATCAAAATTGAAACTACTGCGGAAACAAAGACTCCTACATCTAAAGCTAAGCTAAAACATATCAAAAATTTATTTCAAAGTGAACTATCCCTTTAAGCACTAAACAGTAAACAGAATGCACTTTTGCATAGGTTATATTTTTTTGTAGGGCTGATCATTTGGTCAAAATCAGCTACAAACCTGAAAAGCATCTCTTGTGTTATAAAAGTACAAAATAACTAGAATAATGTTTCTAGTTCATGGAAAGACGGAAGGAGAAAAAGAGCCTACTTCACCTTTCCAAGAGGAGACAGTGAGTGAAGCGGAACAAGATACTTTCCATTTCCAGGACACGCATATTTCATCACTGCATCATGGACTGTAGTAGCGAGACTTCCACGACACAAATCATTATAACAGCGGAAACAACTTAAAATACTTAAAATCGTTTGTTGTTATACAGATAAGTGTAAGACAGCATTCGAAACTGTAAAGGGTCTATTTTTATTTGTGCACACTCACAATAAAAACAAAAGATTGTGCTTTTGTAAAATAAAGAAATCCATCAGATGCCACTTTCTGCCATCCCGGTTTCCTTTCCTGTGAAGTTTGTGGAGCGCGTCACAAAAATGAATTGAAACTCGGCGTATAGGCTACTAACAAGGTCTTGGCCTGTCATCTGAACGATTGTTGCGTAGAGATCATCTCTTCTTCTTCTTCTGCTTTTTCCTGTTTTGGCGGTTAGCAAACAGTGTTGCATTACCACGTGCACCCCCTTCTGGATTGGAGTGTGGATCGCCTGTGACTGACTGTATTCGTCGTCTGACTGCATGCACTGAACCGTGAAGTCCGTACCATGACGGTTTGGGACGAATACATGTACCTTTACACCCCTAATGTTTTGACTTGATCTTCAAGCTACTCTTTTCTATATAAAGCAAATGAATGATTAGTCAAGCTCCAAAAATACTAAAAAAGGAATCCTAAAAGTCAAAAAGCTCATATGCATGACATTCCAAATATTTCAGTTTGTTCCTTGCGAAAAGCTCATGAATGGCTTAAGGGGAGTTGAAATATAGTGCACAAGTCAGAAGGTCTACTTTTATGGTTTCTTTTTATCAGTTTTGGAGCTTGACAGACACTGGTCATGCTTCACTTTCATTATATTTGAAAAGAGATCTGATTCTTGTGTTCTTCAAAATAAAGCTTCTTTATTGGCATCGATGGTTCCATGAAGAACCTTTAACGTCAATAGAACCTTTCCATTGCACAAAATGTTCTTTAAAGTGAAAAAAGGTTCTTTAGATTATTATATATATTATATATTATATTATATTTAGAAAAAAAAAGTTATTTTAAGAATTGAATACTGAAAGGTTCTTCGGTTAACTCAAAATGGTTCTTAAACAGTGTTGTGTGTAACGCGTTACAAAGTAACGCGTTACAGTAACGTAACTACTTTTTCGGGTAAAAAGTAGTGTAACGCGCTACTACTGAAAATTTGGTAACGAAACGTAGTTCCTTTTTTAATTCGGCGCAACGTTACTTTCCCCAGGGACAGATTATCTGTCCCTGGGATTTGACAGCGATCTCCGTCATTTGATAGATTTGACCGCGATCGCCATCTCCGTAGTGAACGCCCCAGAGAGAGAGATGCACATAATGGATTACATAATCAGAGAGTAGCCTATTTCTTTTCGTTTTGAATTGTTTCGTTTAAAGACATTTCAAGCTTAAATTCTATACGTTGAGTTTCGGTTAATTTATGGTGAGATGCTCCAGTTCACGTGCAATGCAAGTGACCACGCCGGCGCTTCCATGATTATATTGTCCCCTTTATTTGCTTCTTACTTGCAGGCATTTGGTTGATAAAAAATTGATTAAAATTAAGATACAATTTATACAAAACGAAATTCGCTTTAAAGAAAGGCTTTCTTCAAAACAAAACTTAATGAAGTGGTCAAAATCATGTCTGATTGACTCAATGTCTCCCGATATATTGCGCATCCATCTTACTCGCGCTGTTCACTTTTCATAATCAGCATAGATGGAAAAAAATAACATTATAATATTTTAACAAATATGAAACTAAATGCGCTTATTTAATGGCTACAACACGTAGGCTATAGTAGGCCTACAGACTCTCGTGTATTGCTGCACATTCATTTAATTCTGAATTTTGCACACATAAGTTGAAAGGCATTTGTTTACGTGCATAGTAAAACATCTGCAACATTTATCAAGTTCACGGATAATTGTGCGTGCATTTATTAATCATTATGATACTAAAATCATAATAAAGTAGGATATACTATGTACAAAAAATCAGATGAGCCCAGAATATGAACGCAACGTGTTTACTTACACGTTAAGCATTTTCCTCCCATAGAAAACCATTATAAGAACGCTTAATTTGGCTTAATGCAGATTAGAATGTCCCCTTATTATGTCTAAATATCAAGATAAGTTTTCTTTTTTTTTCTTCACCATGCGGTTCAGGACTTCCATAGAATACAGCCTGAATATAATTACTTCCAGAAAGGATTTTTGGGGGTGCTAACGGGGTGCTTTGGTCTTTCTTGGGGGCTTTCTTTCTAGCCCCTCCCTAGCGCCGCCCATGCATATGCCTAGCCATTAACCGGCATTTCTTCATAAATATTAACATTTTTGATAAATGCATTATGCATTTATGGCATTATATATGGCATTATGCATAGTAGAACTTTGTGTAGGGCCTACACATTTAGGAACAGATATTGGGTTCTGCCCAAAGTCAAGCAACATAAAAGTAACGTAAAAGTAACGAGTAACGTAAAAAGTTACTTTCTATATGGGGTAACTAAGTAAAGTAACGGATTACTTTTTTAAAGGAGTAACGAGTTACACTACTTTTTAAAAGTAACTTCCCCAACACTGTTCTTAACTGACATTCACTGTGAAAACCCCTTTTTGAAACCTGTATTTTTACTGAGTATTTAACTTCAATTTTCAATGAAATTATGCTTTCAGAGAGCTGACCTGCAAAAACATGTAGTAGACGATGAAGAGGAAGTAAAAGACCTGAGACGCCATGAGAAACGATTGAAAGCCACCTGTGGACTGGTAGAGACGGACACTCTGCACCACGCTGCGAAACTGAAATGCGCCTGAAAAATAAGAAATGTCAGCTCAGCTTTGCAATAAAACATGATGGTTTTATATATATGGGAATGATTGTTCTTTTTCCTCACCTACTGCAGTGCTCTCCAGTATCAGCGTGACAATGCAGAACAGGTTGACATTAGCGTTGTACACCGTAAACTCTGCAAAAACCGCCCTTGTGTACACATCCAACCAGGTGGAGTCAAATAGATATTGAAGCTTCCTGTTGGTTGAAAGGAGGCATGTCATTAGTATAGTATGCATAAAATAAACCCTTGTGAAAAAGAAGTATACTTTTAAACAGAGTTTTTATTATGTCAAGAATATACTTAAGTGTAAATGGAATGGAATGTTTTTCAGACTACATGCTACTCAATAAAAAAAGTATTATAGCTTAAATTTATGTTAAATCCATTTAGCTAAACCTTAGAGTGCTTTTTAGACCCACTCAAGTAGGGCTTAATTACATCATTGTATGTAGGCACAGTTTCACAGACAGGGGTTAGATTAAGCCAGGATTAGATCTTAGTTTCTTTCTTTCTTTATTTTATTTATTTTATTTCAACAGGGACAATGTGCAAAAAAACATTAATTAAAGATGCTTTGCACCAGATTTAGCTTAAGCTAATTTCAATTAGGACATTAGTTCAATTAGGACATTTAAGTAGCTTTTATAAACATGCCTTAGAAAAAAAAAACATTACTAGTGTGGATCTTGAAACAAAACGGGCACTGAGATGTTTTAAGATATGTCAGGGCTTTAAAGGTAAAAGGTTTCATTTTTCTGTAATAAAACTTTCTGTTATCCCAATTCAGTGTGCAGAGTCACCTAATAGTGAGCCTTTGGCTGCATCCAAAATCGCATACTTGCCTACTATATAGTAGGCGAAAATAAGTATGTGAAAAAAGAAGTATGTCCGAATTCTCAGAACTCATAAAAGAGTAGGCAAAAAGTACCCGAATGACCTACTACTTCCGGCGAGATTCTGAAGTGTGCATATGATGGACACTTTACTATCCCATGAGGCCACAGGAGAGGATATATGAATGGAGGTGAACTGATGCCGGTGGGTCATGATAATGACAACATGGCAAATGTATTCTTTAGGGGTGAGTAGTAATACCCCGGACATTGTGTCAAGATGATTTATTACCCTATGATTGACAGGTGGGCGGGGCTAACCTTTGACCTTCCGGAGTGTGTCCCGGAGGTCGCTTTGATCTAGGGATGACCCTTTGACCTATCGCTCCACCACGCTGGCTTTCAAATCGGTAGCGGTGGCGAAATGATTAATGTCGTGCTTTTTCATTAAATTTTGAAAATGTTTGTTAAAAAATTCCTTTCCCTGATCCGTCTGCAATTTCTGTGGGACACGGCCCTCTTCGAGTATAGACTCGAACGCTTTAGTAACCTCAAACCCACTCTTATTCTTCAACACCCTCGTCCATGCGTGTTTGCTGAAAACGTCTATGCAGGTCAGCAGATATTTATGACCGTGATTATCCTGGGCATAAGCGGACATGTCGACTAAGTCGGCCTGAAATTGAGTATCGACCCCGTATACAATCACCCTATTTCGTTTGTAATTTATCGGCGCTGTTTTGTGTAATGTGTAAGCATCCTCACCAGCCAGCCATTCTGAAACCTGTTTATCGGTCAGACGGACTCCGCTATCTTTTAAGACGGCATCTTTTAATCGTTTTTTACCCCCTAAAGAACCGGGGTTGGACGGTGTATAATAAGCCTTTTTCATGAGGTCAGACATGATGATGATGATGATGATTCAGCTACTGTGAAAGAATGAGAGGTGAGGGTGATTTCAATCAATCTTTTATTAAAAAATAATGACGTCACAGGATAAAAACAGTAGGTAAAAACTGATTATAATAGAAGACATTAAGTAAAAAATGGTTATAATGACATAAGCAAAGTAAAAATGGAAATAATAGAACAGACAAAATGGTTATAATAACAGGTGTACACAGGCTACGTAAAATGATTATAATAGATCTAAGTAAAAAAGGTTATAATACCATGTATGGATGATCAAAGTAAAATGGATATAATACAACGGTCTAATTACAATTAGAATCTAGCCAGAATAAAAAGTCACGGAACACAAACATGTTTTTGTCTGCGACATAATCGGTGAACAGTTCAATAATTTGGTCGACGTTGTTAATCAACTGACGACGTTCGACCATCTCCTCCTCATCGTCACTGTCTAATCGATTTGACTTTTTCACCAAATCAATACATACATCGGTTACAAACGTGACCATGCACAACGTATCGGTGACACCGATGTCAGACGGTGAACCGTACATCCAATCGAGAACATGTTTTATCATATCACAGACAGGCAGGTTGTAGTGGTAAAGACATGCAGAGATCATACAGTACCACGTATTGTTAGGACTAAGGCCTCTTACATGTTTCATGTTTTTCTTGAGATTGGCCTCACGTGTAGTGTCGTCATCATCACGTGGAATTTCAAACGGGGAATCGGGTGCGTCCTCAATAATCTTGTTCATAAGACCGATGATCTGGTCTTTGTAATGATCTTTAAACATGGAAATGAGGAAGTGCGCCAGACTGCCCGCAACACCCATGTCGGAAGAGGTTTGATCACTGGCCATTGACGATTGAGAGTAATTCCCAGAGATCAACGACGTCGTGGACTATTTCCCTACAGGGTTTGTCCAAAAGTCTCCCCCTGATTTCTTCCAGCTTGGCTACGATGAATGGCTCGTCTTTTAATTCGCGCAGAATAGCTCCGACTGTTCCTTGAATTCGGTGGGATCGAGATTTTAACCCACAGCGGTTGAGGATGATGGCGATGATGGAGTGAAAATGCGGTTTAAACAGTTTGCCTGTCAGTTCATCAAAGTGTGTGTCGAAGAAGTAGTTAGGGGGCTCAAACAGGCATGAATGTTGCAGCTGACTTGGATGGTCGATCGCACACCCCTCACATTCTTTCTTGATCTTGTCACCGATGAGATGTTCCAGCAGTATCACGATAGCTGCTTTTACGATTTTGAATCCAGCGTCGCTGAAACAGCCGTCTGTAGTGTCGAAACTGGGTTTAGCATCCGCATCAGACGGTATGGTGGGCATGTAAGGTCCGTAGTCTGCACCCAAATTATAGCTCCAGTCCTTGTGTAGGTCCGATGGTGAGCCGTCGCCGTTAGTCAGAATATGGTCGAGAGCGTTGTCGTCGAGAATGCTGCCGAAAGAGATTCCGCAGCTGCACACATGACTGGGGTCTGTAGCGTTGTCTTCTGCCATGGTTTATATATGTTGCTCGGGTGGGTCCGGTCGCCGGAATTTATGTGGGATGTAGAGGAGGGGCGGAGTCGTTCTAGCATTTCAACCACGGTTTGTAAAGACGCTTGGGAGGGTCTGAAAGCTGAGCTTTACGATGACTGTAGTGAATGGGCGTGGACGGTCTAGTAAATGAACTGCTCCGTGCGCATCTCTCAGGGTTGAACAGCTGCACTTTGATTTTGTTGTATCCGTCGTGCATGTCACACCATTTGAACAATTTGTTAATGGCTGAAAAAACACTACTCAGCAGATCCAGATCGCACCAATTGAACAAAAATTGCAATTCATACAGATCGTGATGCTCGCTAGGATCGATGACTCCTGACCTTGTGCTGTTGAGCTTTGTCTTGTCTTTACAGCAGAATATGTAGACGGAATCATCCGACTTCTTTTTAGTATGGTCGCCAACCAAACGGTACCGGACGTTCGGAGTCACCCCGTCCCATTCGGCGGTGTACAAAGGCTCTTCGCCGACGTCGTGCAGATCCTTCCAGACAAATTTGTAAAATAGAGACCAGTCTTTTTCAGGAAATACAACGCAGGCGTCTTCCCCAGGCTGGAACTCATCCACACCATCGGTGGTGTAGAGCATCACAAAACGCGAGGGTTTGTGAAATTTGTACCCGAATACGCGGTTACTACACATCGTGTATTCAGCTTTAGTCCATTCCGTATTTTCGTGGAGAAAGTTTGTCAAACGCATGTGACCCGCGGGCTTTTTCGGTGCCATAGTCAGACTTTCCATCATCACGCGGCTCAGCTCCGTGTCGGGGGTTTCAGGGGAGGATAAACCGTCCATACTCACGTAGCTCATGTTTTCCCCGCTTATGGCTTTCTGTAGAACAGCCCGACAAATTTATAGCCCCTGCTTCAGGAATGCGGAGGGTATCATGTAACACACCCACACACACACACACAGATGCAGTGACCATGGCTGTCATGAAAAAAGGCCGGTGAGCAAGAGAGTCACTCGGAGGAACATCTTTGGGGAACGTCTGATAAAGTAAGATGATTTTATTTATTGCACACCGCTTCAATGTTTTATTCTATAATACCTCCGGATCAAAGACAACTGTCAAAATAAATGATTATACACCCACATCAAAGACAACTGGCATATCCAGATCAAAGACAACTGGCAACTTGACGTATAATAGAAAGGGCAATAGGGCAAAGACAACTGTCAAAATAAATGATTATAGAACCACATCAAACACACCCGGCATAACCCAGATCAAAGACAACTGTCAACTTGATCGATCGATAGGTCAAAGGGTCATCCCTAGATCAAAGCGACCTCCGGGACACACTCCGGAAGGTCAAAGGTTAGCCCCGCCCACCTGTCAATCATAGGGTAATAAATCATCTTGACACAATGTCCGGGGTATTACTACTGGGGTGGGAATCTTTTACCATCTCACGATTCAATTCGATTCCGATTCTTGAGGCCACGATTCGATTCAAAATCGATTTTCGATTCAAAAAGATTTTCGATTTAAAACGATTCGATTTTATCCATAATGATTTCTAATCGGGTTTCTGATCATGATCTACTCTCATCTGCTTTGCTATACAGAATGACAAACGGAGACCAGTGTTTCCTCTAGGATTTTTTCCAGCTGTGGTGGCAGGCCCATTTCGCCAGGGGGAGGGGGCGTGGCCCATGAGTGATATTCCCATTGGCCACGCCCCCTTACCTCAGGTGTTTAAACCTCCCCTAAGCATTATAACATTATAACATGAAAGGCTCGAATAAGAGCGGCAAAGCGATTATGCGCATCCCGTGCGCAGAATGATGCACTTGAAGCAACGTGAAGTCACAGCGCGCAGCGCTCCGGATTGAAAAGTTCAAAGCACAAAGCGAAGAGATTATATCTGTCTATCTAAGCTTAATGTATTATATATATGCAACAGTTTATTGAGCATTTTCTTTTAACAGTTTTAAATTTCAGTTACAGTGCGCATGAAGAACAATTCATAGCGCTCTCCAGTGCTGTAGGCCTAATCTAACAGACACCCGGGAGAAAGGATTATGATTTAGAAAACGCTATAACGCGACGCGCTGTGTTTGAATGCTGAATGGAGAATGACTGAGGAGAGATGAGTTTCTATTAACTTTAACTAACGACTTAAATATTCATTTTTACCTCAAATTATGCTATTGAATGACTTTAGAAGTCTTGGAATATAGTGCAAACACTTTATGGTGCTTTACAATGTTTTTTATGCCTTTAGCTTAACAATAACACAATAGTATGCACATTAATATCGGACCTCACTGAGAAGCTGCAGCCGTGGCGGGATTATTTTAGGTGTGGCGGCCGGCCACGGCAGAATGAATGTAGAAGCATCATATTTAGAAGCTTCATAGAAGCATCCATATTTGCTTCCTTTGATTTGCCGCTCACGTTCAAAAACCGGCTGCGTGCATGACGTCCGGACGTCCCGTATCGGCTATAGTTACAAAAATGGAGGCGAACAGCCAGCTGATTTTATTTATTTATTAAATCGATTCTTGGACATTTCAGATCGATTCTGAATCGTTGCAAATGAGAATCTAGATTCTTCTGTGAATCGATTTTTTGGCACACCCCTAGTATTCTTTGGGATGTGCTGGAAATGGAAAAGACTTTACAGAGGGATTGACTCTTGCTTTGTCAGTACAAGATCTTGACCAAAAATGAATGTACCTCTTGATGGAAATAACATCTCAACATTTATTTCCATCAAGAGCTGCATCAGTTTTTGGTCAAGATCTTGTAATGAAAATGCAAGAGGCGAACTCAGTAAAGTCTCCTCCAGCACTTTCCAAAGACTTTCAATGAAGTTAAGCTCTGGACTCAGATGGGCCAATTCATGTGTGAAAATGAATCTTCACGCTCCTCACAACCATTCTTTCACAATTTGAGCCTGATGAATCTTGACATTGTCATCCTGGAATATGGCCATGATGAATGAATGAATAGCTACACACTCCATCAGTTAGGGTTATAAGAACTTTTGCCAAACATATAACATGCTAAAAACATAATAATCACTGCAATAATAATCTAATCATAGACTCTTAAGCATTTGCTTAAATCCAAACAGCAACTTTTTTTGGCGTGGCAGTGTATAGAACATACTTTTTTATTGGCCGTGATTTACTTACTTATTTAAAACAAGTACCTACTTAAGAGAGTATGCGATTTCAGACGCAGCAACTCTGTTTGGTCCAACTAAAATTGAGGTCGTATTTATGCGATTACTCACCTGCTCGCGTTTTGCCGGTCAGAACCGAGGTCCATAACATAGCCTCCTCCTCTATAAAGTGCAATCATACCCCAAACGGGGACTGCTTTGAGCGTGGACTGGCTTTGGTACTGCCAAGCTGTGACGGTGTCCTCAGAGCCATTTACAAAATTAAACTCTTCCCAGCCTGGACCGTAAGAGCCCATGTCCTCATTTTCCCAAGAGTAAGGGGCATTGCAGTGGGGAACAGCGTGACGCATGGACTTAGCAATCATGCAAGAGTCTCTCGTCACCCTAACTTGACGAAGACGAGCACCGCCAACAAGTTTTGAGTTTCCATCCGTTATAAAGCCTTGGAAATGAAAATTAAGTAGGCATTAAACACATCAGTCAATAACGTGGCTATTTACTGGAGCTCAATGGGTTTAAACTAAAGCTCTCGCTAACCTCCTGATAGATTTTTTTTCACTACTATTTTGATATTATAAAATGGGAAGAAGATTTTAAGAAAACCAATCTGTTAGGAGTCTTTAAAGATCTGATGGCCCAGAACTACTTTAAATACAAATTAAAGACGATTGTTGTACACTGAGATTTTCTTGACAAATCAAGATATTGGAACTACCTGGATATTTTCCAAACAGGTTACTAAGAAGTACACTATTAGCCCAGGAGAACACATCATTGTGGTTCATACTGTCTGAAATGCCATTGCTGAAGCTCTGCCGGATGTGGTGTGTGAGGTGAAATCCATTTTCATCTCGCTGACCATATGCCACCAAGAGCAGCATCCACAAGAACCCCAGAAAAACTGCAAAAGAAAATACAGGTCTGTGCACAACCGTTCTTTTACATAGTCATTGGCTGAAAGGGAACAGTTGTTTTTCCTACCTAAAATCTCCATGATGAGCGCCCGTGCTTTCTGCTGTTTGACCATGTTTCTCTTAATCTTTTCAATATCACTGGAAGGTGGAGGCTCATAGAAGCTGTGTGTACAATCCCTCTTAGCAAGTCGCACTCCATTGAGGCCATCTATTGAAGAGATCGTGATTGAAAGTAGCAAATCACAAAGATCTGATTAGGCTCTTTAAAAATAATATGAGAGACATCCCCCTATGAAAAACAAGTGCACTTTAGCATACTTTTAGAAATAGTATTATTACGGGAATAGTATCCTTTAAAAGAGGATTTCATAATTATTAGATTATTATTATAATTATTAAATTATTTCATAATTACTATTGTCAAAACTTAGAAATCTACAACTTTACAAATTTTCTGAAGAGAAGAGATCGCTTTATATGATGAACAGATTGAATTTAGTCTTTAACTCACATATAAACATTCAACTCACTCATAAGTTGTGGTAAACGGACCAAAAGCATGTTCGCTTGACGTGCGAGAACCATTGAGGTTCATTCTCGTGTTACACAGCCCGTTTGAGCTTCAGAAAAAGGTTTTATTTTCTTATCCTATGAATTATTCTCTTGCGTCAAGCAGGTTCGGTTGAGCTTCTGTTTATGTCCGCTGATCAATGTTTAAATGTGAATAAAGGCCTAAATTCAATCTGTTCATCATGAAGAGCGATTAAGTCTCTTCAGAAAATTTTGACTAATCCACTCAATTCATATGAATTAGTTTTACGATCTCTTTATGAACTTTATGAAGCGTCAGAGTGGTAGTTGTGTAGCTGTCAATGGAGGGACAGAAAGCTCTCAGATTTCATCAACAAGATCTTCATTTGTGTTCTGAAGATGAACGAAAGTCTTACGGGTTTGGAACAACATGAGGTCGAGTGATTAATGACAGAATTCACATTTTTGGGTGAACTATCCCTTTAAGATTTGAAGGACAACAACTGCATATTAAACACAATTAAGCTAATTTCTTTTCACAAGGGTTGGCTATTTGATCCGCATACCTGATTTCCAATTACCTGAGCAAGTGGTTGTTTTCTTACTTAAAGAGTCAACAAGTTCTGCATCCTCAAAACTGATTTTCTTCACCACCAATGCAAAGAAAATTGCCAAACAAAACACCTGCCAAATGAAACGCACAAATAACATAGTCAAAAAAACATAACTGTGAATACAATACAAATATATAGCATTTAGACTGCAGCTCTTTACTTTTATGGGCTGGGTAAAGAAGAGGCTCTCAGTGAAGGACATCGCAATGGTGATTATCCAACTGATCGAGCGATCCTTTCCATATTTCAGTCCATACAACATGGTAAAGTATCCTGATATCACACTTGTGGCTGCAACAAGAAGCCAACCCACAAACACAAACCACCATGGGAGACCCTTCCTGCTGCCGCTGTCTTTTTTGGGGCTCAAGCTACGGGTCCGCTGCTCAATGAGGGGTCTGGAGGAACAGAGACTTTCCAGCAGTTTCTTCATGCTCTGGATCTGGAGTAAAACCTGGCTGTAGCACCCAGGCCTAGAAAAGCCTGAAGGCCCCAGCAGCTTCACTTCTCCCTCCAAGTTTTCAAGTTGTCTGGAAAGATGATGGCTATAGGCCCAGAAAACGGAGGAGGTTTCGTTTTTGTGTATGAAATGCTGTTGTTCGATGAGGTTCTGCAGCTCTGACAGTAAAGTGCTGAGGTCTGCTTGATCAGGGTTCTGCTGTGTTTTCAGGACGGGGCATCTCATGGCATTTCCAAACAAGTATGTGATTCTCTGTATGTCCTAATGAAAAACAGTTACACTTTATTTTAAGGTGTCCTTGTTACAGTATAATAATACATTTAAGTACTAATAATACTTACATGTAATTAGGGTTAGTTTCTTGTTGTAATTATGCCTAATTTACTGTTATTACTATAGCAAGTACATGTAAGAATAAAGTCGTGTAAAATAAAGTCTTACCGAAAAATTATAAAATATGTACATTTTGGCTAAATATTGCTGCAATAAACACAACAAGTAATAACAATATACCCATGTTGGTTTGAGGTCATTGATTTTTTTTTTTATTACTTTTATTGAGTATGTACACTCTTGAAAATAAAGGTTCCAAAAGGGGGTTTTCGATGCCATAGAAGAACCATTTTCGGTTCCCCAATGTTCCCCTTTAAGTAAACAATTCTAAAAAGAACCATTTTTTCTTTCTGTGAAGAACATTATTAACCTAAAGAACTTTTCCACTATAAAGAACCTTTTGTGCAATGGAAAGGTTCCAGATGTTAAAGGTTCTTCATGGAACCATCAATGCCAATAAAGAACCTTAGTATTAAAGGGTTAGTTCACCCAAAAATAAAAATTCTGTCAGTATTACCAGAGACTATTTATATATGGTATTACTCACCCTGATGTTGTTCCAACCCCGTAAGACTTTCGTTCATCTTCGAAACACAAATTAAGATATTTCTGATTAAATCTGAGAGCTGTATCACTCCTCCATAGGCTTCTAAGGGATCGAAACTTGCCGGCCCAAAAGTTATGAAAGACATCGTTAAAATAGTCCGAGTGACTACAGTGGCTCTATCTTTAAGTTTATCAAGCGACGAGAATACTTTTTGTGCGCAAAAAACAAACAAAAATAACGACTTTATTCAACTATTCATTTCTTTCTCTGTGGGCCTCGAGTGAGTTCACGTAGTGTAACTGCGCAAAGCTTCTGTGTTGTAAGTCACACGCATCACACACATGAACAGCGTCGGCCAATAGTGAGCCTACGTGTGACGTACAACACAGAAGCGTTGCGCAATATCACTACATGAAATCTCGAGGCCCACAGAGAAGGAAATGAATAGTTGAATAAAGTCGGTATGTTTTTTGCGCACAAAAAGTATTCTCATCGCTTGATAAACTTAAAGATAGAGCCACTGTAGTCACTCGGACTATTTTAACGATGTCTTTCATAACTTTTGGGTCGGCCAGTTTCGATCCCTTAAGAAGCCTATGGAGGAGTGATCCAGCTCTCAGATTTAATCAAAAATATCTTAAGTTGTGTTCCGAAGATGAACGAAAGTCTTACGGGGTTGGAACAACATCAGGGTGAGTAACTAATTACTGACAGAATTTTAATTTTTGGGTGAACTATCCCTTTAAGAGTGTAGGTACATGAATATAGTATTGATGGCATATACTAAGTACTATAGCTGAATTGCTGAAACATACTGTACTTTTTGTTTAAACAAAAATAATGTGAATAATTGATTAAACATGGAGGACTTACATTGATAATGAAATCTACTGTTAAATTGTTCTCAACATGTGGAGAGAAGGTCTCATCCAGGATCTCTTTCTCCATCTGAGGAGGCTCAGGCTGCTTATGAGCCTTTTGTTTCTTTGTCTTCTTTTTTCGGGGACGTGAGTGTCTGAAGATTCCCACAATTAGTAGGTTCACGGGGAACACAATGAAGGAGCTCTGGATGCCAATCTTCACCTGACTCCAGGTCAGTTTAATCTGGCCTTTGGATAAAAGAGAATCCAAACACCCACCAAACATCAGTTTTGACTAGAGCTGTCAATCAATTCAAATGTTCAATATTTATATGTTTTTCTTTTTAAATTATATAAAAGGACATTCAAAGACACGATTATAGTATTGTGGCAAGACAAGTGAATCTTTGAATAGACTTTACAAAAAGTGGATTTAGAAGTTAATAAATAGTTTATTTCCATGCCATTGAACACAACTAAGACTATTATATACAGGTCCTTCTAAAAAAATTAGCATATTGTGATAAAGTTCATTATTTTCCGTAATGTAATGATAAAAATTTAACTTTCATATATTTTAGATTCATTGCACACCAACTGAAATATTTCAGGTCTTTTATTGTTTTAATACTGATGATTTTGGCATACAGCTCATGAAAACCCCAAATTCCTGTCTCAAAAAATTAGCATATCATGAAAAGGGTCTCTAAACGAGCTATTAACCTAATCATCTGAATCAACTAATTAACTCTAAACACCTACAAAAGATTCCTGAGGCTTTTAAAAACTCCCAGCCTGTTTCATTACTCAAAACCGCAATCATGGGTAAGACTGCCGACCTGACTGCTGTCCAGAAGGCCATCATTGACACCCTCAAGCAAGAGGGTAAGACAGAAAGAAATTTCTGAACAAATAGGCTGTTCCCAGAGTGCTGTATCAAGGCACCTCAGTGGGAAGTCTGTGGGAAGGAAAAAGTGTGGCAAAAAACGCTGCACAACGAGAAGAGGTGACCGGACCCTGAGGAAGAATGTGGAGAAGGACCAATTCCAGACCTTGGGGGACCTGTGGAAGCAGTGGACTGAGTCTGGAGTAGAAACATCCAGAGCCACCGTGCAGAGGCGTGTGCAGGAAATGGGCTACAGGTGCCGCATTCCCCAGGTCAAGCCACTTTTGAACCAGAAACAGCGGCAGAAGCGCGCGCCTGACCTGGGCTACAGAGAAGCAGCACTGGACTGTTGCTCAGTTTTGCATGTCATTCGGAAATCAAGGTGCCAGAGTCTGGAGGAAGACTGGGGAGAAGGAAATACCAAAATGCCTGAAGTCCAGTGTCAAGTACCCACAGTCAGTGATGGTCTGGGGTGCCATGTCAGCTGCTGGTGTTGGTGCACTGTGTTTTATCAAGGGCAGGGTCAATGCAGCTAGCTATCAGGAGATTTTGGAGCACTTCATGCTTCCATCTGCTGAAAAGCTTTATGGATATGAAGATTTCATTTTTCAGCACGACCTGGCACCTGCTCACAGTGCCAAAACCACTGGTAAATGGTTTACTGACCATGGTATTACTGTGCTCAATTGGCCTGCCAACTCTCCTGACCTGAACCCCATAGATAATCTTGGGATATTGTGAAGAGAAAGTTGAGAGACGCAAGACCCAACACTCTGGATGAGCTTAAGGCCGCTATCGAAGCATCCTGGGCCTCCATAACACCTCAGCAGTGCCACAGGCTGATTGCCTCCATGCCACGCCGCATTGAAGCAGTCATTTCTGCAAAAGGATTCCCGACCAAGTATTTACTATTGAGTGCATAACTGAACATAATTATTTGAAGGTTGACTTTTTTTTTTGTATTAAAAACACTTATTTTATTGGTCGGATGAAATATGCTAATTTTTTTAGACAGGAATTTGGGGTTTTCATGAGCTGTATGCCAAAATCATCAGTATTAAAACAATAAAAGACCTGAAATATTTCAGTTGGTGTGCAATGAATCTAAAATATATGAAAGTTTAATTTTTATCATTACATTATGGAAAATAATTAACTTTATCACAATATGCAAATTTTTTGAGAAGGACCTGTAATTATGTTACGGTAACAGTATTTCAATAGTTCACTTTAGACATTCTACTGAGAGTTAGTAGACATGTTGTTATATGTATGTTAGCTGAGTTGTAGAATGTCTAACGTGGACTACTGAAATAAAGTACTTTTTGAATCATACCCATATCCATTGTCTGCTCAGTGGGGTCTGTGGGAATCCCGTAGAACATGATACTGGTCAACATGGAGCAGAGCAGCACTGAGAAACAGCACGAGACACGCTGCACACGGGTGAAGTTACTGCTGGGGGGTCGACTGACCACAGAGTACCAGATGTGGCCATCACAGAAGTCTGTTGTTGTCTTCATGAAGAATAAATTGCTGCAAAAAAAGAAAGTCTTTTGGTTGCATTTCCAAATATCCTTATTTGAAAAGCTGCACGGCGAGATAGTGAACTCACCTGAAGCCTTTCATGTCCATCTCTGATGCAACGGGAAACACTCTTTCAACAGTACAATCATCTATATCAACAGCCAGCCACGCGCTGCACAAGAAGTGCCACTTCTGCTCAGTCTGCAGGTCTTCAACCATCACTGAGTTAACATACCTGAGAAATATAAAATACATTTTTCAAACATGCTGGCCTTGGTGGAAAAAGAAGTGCTCTTAATTGTAATGAATGTGCACTTGTAGCGCACTTTAAATTTTAAAAGTATGTTAAAAAAACACTGTACTTGCAGATAATAAAGTTTTAATGAAATTATAGGCCACTTGCACTTAAAGAGAGTCTACTTACATGATTATCTCTTTAAAAAATATTTGTAATAATGTTAAATAAAAAGTTTTACTTTAAGGTAGCCTGGGAAAACCCAGACAACTTCCGGCAAATTTAGATTTGCTCTGAAAGTTAGTCTGGCAAAGAGTTCATTCAAGCCCATTTCCAATCCGTCGAAATCGAGGCACCAATCAGAAACGTTGGGGCGGGCTTTACACGATGACACCAGCGCTGGGATTTTGAAGCAGATTTTGTAGCCTACATTACAAAGATGGATGCCGCCGTCGAACATCACTCGTTCGAATCAGCTATCGCGTCTGTTTTAAGCGATTTGAACGTTTCCTTTTTGTTAAAAACCGAGCAAAGAACAACACTCGGAGATGTTTCTCCGCCGCTCTGCATACGTCATCTCCTTCATCGCTCTGATTGGTTTTAGGTCTATCCGCGACGTCCGTTGGTGACGCCCCTCTGGAAATGATTTGTCTATGACGCTTTGCCAGACCATAACTCAGTTACAACTGAGAATGGTCTGGTTTTAGCCAGGCTAACTTTAAGGTACTTTAATATTTAAAATCATTGTTGTGATTTAAAGAAGTATACACTTATTTTAATGTGTTTGAAATTACATACAAAAGCACATGCAAAGTACTTAATTATTACTGCTGTGTGTTATTCAATATTACTTTAAGGTTATAATAATATATTTAAAATGTACTAAATTGCATCATTACAAATGTGTAATTGCAAATATTTAAATACATGACATTCAGGTTTTAATAGAAATTACATTAAAGTTCGCCTGTGGTTAAAATCAAGCGTTTACTGTTGTTTATATGTCTATGTGGTGTTTTTAATATGCTTTAAGACAAACCATATACAAATTCATAAGTCAGCACCATTTCTGAGTAGTGTCTTCTCAAAAACTGCAGTAAACCAAAGACGCGGTTTAAAATCGCTGGTGTTCCTGACGTCACAAACTACCTTGTAACCAATCACGTCAACGAGTGGATCTCTGAGCTGGTGTGAGTGAGTGGAGGCGGGCTAATTTGCATATTCAAGGATTTTTTTTTTTGCTTTATTTTTTAAATTAAGATTTTTTTTCAAGGAAAAAACGTTTAAATATGTAATTTTAGTGATCAAAGATTAGTTTTAAGGGATACAATTATTGACTACATGGACTTTAAAGTAAATTTTAGTTTATCATAAATGCTTGTCAGTACATTGTGCAGTGCACTAACCATATTTCAGACAATATACGTGATTATGAAATTACATATAAAGATGTACTTAAGTCCTGCTTAAGTGAGTCAAAAAAAAGTACAGATAATTGCATTTAATATAAATGTAAACTATAATAAATTTTCATTGAATTGCAATTAACATGCAATTATGTGTCTTAAAACATTATAGTTAGTTAGCACTTTGACAAAAAATACTTTCTATTTATTTTTTTACTTTATTTATTTAACACTTTAAGCTGCGATCACACTAGACTTTGAGCTTGCGGAATTTCTATGGACACTGCAATGGTCGCAAAATGACATCTCACTAAAAAACATAATTCACTTTTCAATATGCAATCTACTCCACTTTACTGCAGTCTTGCTTATTTAAAGTTTGCGTTCTTTTAATTCAGCTAGAAAAGTTCATGGAGTGGCGTATTAGTCTTCTATTGGTCACACGTCTTCACGTGATACAAATTCGCAGGGCAGAATTCCAACTTGATCTTTGAAAAGCAGCGAAAAAATGTCTCCGCTTGAGCTTGTGTTTCTTTTCTACCGCATTCACATTCGTCAATTGAATGAAAAGTGTAGTGTGTCTGCCCCTTTAGGAATAACAGTGAAGGTGAGTGGACTGTAGGACTAGATGAACTGTTCTTTTAACACCATTTTACCAAGCAGGATGATCTCCTGAGTTGTCATGCCACAGTCTGATGCTCTGCAACTCTCCCAATGGGAAGGCAGTGGTCAGTAAGAACAGGTCCACTCCTCCCCTTTCAAACACTGGCTTATCGGGGTCAGTGAGGTGATGGGGCTCACATTCTCCCTCTGCACCTTGTAGAGTCACTATAACCTGAAGTGACAATGCAGAGTTGGTATGTAACAACATATGATCAGAATTCCTGAAAAAGTGCTTACGATAATAAGCACTAACCCGCGATGAAGTGGAGGCTCCCATGCGATGTCCAGTGCTGATCTTCAGCAAGTATCGGTACTCAGCGAAGGGATCATTGTCCTCTAGCACAGAAATCTTCACCTTCAAAGAATATATCTTTTTAGATAATCACATCATTTTTTAGAAAAATCATGTTAAAATGTGAGTATCAAATATGAGCCATTGGCTTTTGAGGAACATTTATTTGTCCATCTCTAAAATATCATTGTATTGAATTGCATTATATGTTTTGTCCCACCAGTAAAAACTACATAAAATTAAGTATTTAAATATCATCTTACTAAGACATAATTATTGGGAGATATAGAGTGATAACTAATATGTATATGCATGTTATGTAAGATATATACAGTATCACTTACTTAATAACAGTAGCTATACTGTTATAAATACCTATTTATATATTAATAATTAATAATCTATATTTCAAGCCATATAAATATCAGCCATTCCCCAAAATTGCATATTTTGTTGCTTATTATGGGCCTCTGAATAAAAATAAGGTGTTATTTTTCCTATTTGAGTATGAGCTCCATATGAAGCATAAAAGCCTGTATCAAATATGATACAAAAAAAATAAAACATGTATTTTTTGTTGTTGTTTTAGATTTTTTTTTAAAGTTTCAATAAACTGTTCCATAAAAAAAAGAAAAGATTTTTATGACTGTCATATAAGGGTTCAAAGGATTAAGAAAGTAAATAGGATCAATTATTTTTCAGCATGACGTTAAAACAAAGAATTCATGGTTGGCTAGGCCAGGGTCTAGAGAGTATAGATGCAGTAAAGTTAGACAGACCTTGGCTTTGTCCTGCAGGTCCTTCCTGCGCGCCCATGCCGCGGTCAGGATGTAAGCTAAGAAGATAGACCCGATAAAGCACACCACCACTGGGTTATTCGCAAAGTTGGAAAAAAGCTCAGCAGACTTGGATGGATCTACCGTATTGGGCATGACAAAGAAACTGTTCCCAAAAAAGGTTAAATGGTTACACAGGCACTGAGTAACTTCTGCAGTCGTTTTAGGGCCAACCTAAAGAATAAAGAAGAGTGTTATCTCACAACTAAACCTTTGACAGCTAAGGCCTTGTTAGTCTTTAACTGATAGACTGATGCAAATTGACTGATAGCAAACGTCATTTATATTTCATTGATTCATTATTTATTTGGACTTCACTTAGGCCCTGTTTACACCTGGTATTAAAGGGTTAGTTCACCCAAAAATGAGTTAGTTCACCCTTCTTCTTCTACTACAAAGCGCGCGTCTTCCTCTGCTTGTAAGACGCGCGCTGTGTAGTAGAAGAAGAACATCAGTTCTCGCGCATGCGTCCTGGAAATCTCTTGAACTCTTGTCTCAGGCCCACAAGGAAGCAATGGAATAGTCGAATAAAGTCGTTATTTTTGTTTTGTTTTTCCGCACAAAAAGTATTCTCGTCGCTTGATAAACTTATAGTGGAGCCACTGTAGGCACATGAAATATTTAAACATTTTCTTTAATGACTTTCTGGGCCGTCAAGTGTCATTCCCTTAGGCAGCCTATGTAGCAGTGATCCAGCTCTCAGATTTAATCAAAAATATCTTCATTTGTGTTCCGAAGATGAACGAAGGTCTTACGGGGTTGGTACAGCATGGGGGTGAGTAATTAATGACTTAATTTTCATTTTTGGGTGAACTAACCCTTTAAGATGCTTTTTGGTTGATCGGATCACAAGTAGACAAGGGAGACACGTTCCCGTTGTCATGTCTTGTTTTGGTTCATGTTTCATGTCAGTCATGTCTTGTCATGTGATTCCCTGTTCTAGTCTTGTGATCCTGCCACGTGTCCTGTCTTGTCATTGGTTAATTGTCTTGATTATGTTAATAGGTGTCCCTTGTCTTGTCATTTAGCCTTGTGTATTTAAGCCCTCATGTTTGCCTTGTTCCTTAAGTATTGTTTGTGTAACCACTGTCGGGTGAGTTCAATGCCTTGCCTTGCCTTGCTTTGCCTTGCCTTGCCTTGCCTTGCTTCTTAGATTTTTTTAGATTGTTTTGAATAAATTGCACTTGGATTCGTCAAGCTCGCCTTCAGTGGAATGATTACACCCGTTTACACCTGGTGTTTTAATCTGCCTCTTTTGTCCACTTTTAACCATTTCTGTCTTGATTTCTTCTATGGGAGGGTAAATGTATGGCCTTTTTCAGATCTTTTGATCTAATGGACAAAATAAACTCGCGCAATTTACATATGAACACAACCCGAGACAATGGAAAAACATACAGAGAGCAGCAGCTTTCGTTTCTGCTCTGACTGCCGCAAGTGTGTTAGAAATCAGGAATGGTGAGAGAACATTGTGCTTGGTACGTTTTTCATCTTTAAACCAAACTTTGGTCTTCAGCCAACAGTTTAAACACCATCTGGCTAGCTCAAAACGTTTTGGACCCTGCTTTACACCTGTTTTTAGCGTCGTCCACTTGTGATCCGAACAACCAAAATGCATCTCAATACAAGGAGTAAACAGGGCCTTAATATTAGGTCAGAGGTCAGCAACGTTTACATTTATAGTTTCCACCATTGGCACACAAAAAGAAAAAGTCACCACTCACTCACCCTACAGCCATAGTCACTCCAGTTGGATCTGGTTTCTTCCCAGAAAATGCACTGAGCAGTTATGGATGTAATTGTTACTGATGCATTAACAGATTTTACGCCCGGAGGAACAACAGGTCGTATCAGGAGGAAGTAAATGCCCACGTCTATTGCCATGTCACTGGGGCCCAGTACCCATGTGTACCTTTGGTCTGTATGAAAAGATTACAAAAAGTACAAAAAAAGTGTTTGTTGCAGCTCGGATTGTTAACAAACCATTGTGTTGTTTCCAGCAAATGACTCACCTTGTGAATCTCCTTGTTGAGGAAGTGTAACTTTGGCCACGTGGTTTTCCTCAGTAGGATAGTTCTGATAACCCAGCAGTACCACTAGTGTTAACTCTTCAGAGGGACGTAACTTTAAGACCAGAGGAATGTTGGGGGTGGTTATATTGATCGTCGAAGTGCTGAAGTTTCTCAGATCTAGAACTGAGCTGTTCACTGCTGTGTCCACCAGCCTTGGTAAAAAGATCTGGAGATTGACCGAAGTGAAAGATTTTTCAGTTTTCAACAGTAAAATCTCTTGACTATTTACAAATTCTAATGACATAAACTTTAATAAGTGTAATGTTGAAGTAATGATGTTAAAATTCTTTCCCCTGTCCAAAAGCATGCCCACTCAAGGCAGCTTTTAAATCAAATTTAAAAGGGATTTTCATACTGGGTAGTTCTAAACCCTGGGTAATAAGAATCATGGGATATCTTGCTTCACGCAGATCATAATTTACCCAGGGTTATGGATTACTCCTGGGTATTCAGGGGTATACTGTCCATTTCTAAACCCTGGGTTAAAGGTGCAGTATATGTAATATTGACATCTAGCGGTTTAAGGGCCAAATTTATTAAATTGGGCAAATTAGCGTGAGAGTCCAAAACCAAAAAAGTGATGATAGGAGTGGAAAATTCTGCGGTTGATCTACTGACGACATGCAAATTAAAAAAACACAGACACCATAGGTTTTCTGGTTTAAGACATGCTTTTTGGGGCATTAAATAATGGCACAAATACCAGTAAACTGACTAGCACAAACCTTAGTAAATCACCTTGCATGATTCATTTAAATACTCTCCTCCTATAAATTTTGCGTCTGTAAGGGAAACTACTACAAATGCAATATGCAATAAGGTCAGCCGCAAAAATAACCCTGTCCACGCCCTTTCAGCGCTAATTTTTCACTGCGTGTCTTTAGTAAATCCCGACAGTAGTTTTTTTTAACGCCAAAATAGAGTTTTCGCTGGAGCAAGCTGTTAGTAAATCTGGCCCTAAATGTTTACTGCAGTCCAAATTCAGAATATTCTCGTCAGATCCACGCTCACGCGGGTTGCCAGATTGAGGACACATAACAGGAACAAGCTGAATTGAAAATGGAAAGCTACAAGCTGGATCAGATAATGTATATGTGTTTTAATATGCTCCTGTTCAGAGATTTTTAGATGGATGCCGAGACATTTTAGGTCGGGTAGAATCTGCGATCTCTGACCCAATTGGTTTGCTGGCTTGTGGAATACCCGAATTTGACCACAAGATGTCGCCATGACACAACGAGTGAATCTTTAAAAAAAAAACATAAATGCCAGTGATCGCTTTGAAAAAGACAAAAAAATTAAGGTAACTTAATTTTTAATGTTAAAATAAAATGAATGTTAAAACTTAATATCTAATGTTAAAGTGTTTTTACATTTGACACAAGGTAGCGCTACGCCCTGTCCCAAATGGCAAACTAAGCACTTTGCGGTCTTCCAACAAGTACGCATGTTAGTGACGTAATGTCGCTTTGACTGTCGGGAAGGAGTCAACTGTGGAGCTTGCTTCAGTGCGGGCTCGGCAAAAGTCTTCATCGAGGATGAAGTTTTCTCTTGCGAGCACCCTTCTGAAAACTAAAATGACAAATGGGACGTCCTACGGTCTTGTGGACTTAACGGACATATGCACACGGCAGCTATTTGTAAGTACACAAGACCGTAAGTGCATATGAAGTGTGCCATTTTTGACAGAGGGCCCTACTCTTTGCTGGAGGCAGCAAGTAGGACTGATGATTTGTGCTACCCGTTCAGATTTTACTACAGCGAAAAATGCTACCTATCAAATTGTGCTTCATCATATTCATGTGGTTTGAGGCTTTATAAAAGGGGTGCCCTTTTCACAAGATGTAAAATTAGTCTCTGATGTCCCCAGAGTGTGTATGTGAAGTTTTAGCTCAAAATACCCCACAGATATTTTTTATATAGCATGTTAAAATTGTCACTTTTTGAGGGTGAGCAAAAACGCACCGTTTTTGTGTCTGTCCCTTTAAATGCAAATGAGGGCGGAGCTTCAACAGCTTGTGTCCTTTTACCTCACACAGACACGCACTGAAAATTTCTAAAACCTTTAGCCTTTTATGTTCAAACTGGAGTCAGACAATGATGGAGAGTCTCAAGATGAAGTGACAACATGTAGAATGCAACAGGACATTTCTGAATGGTTAGTTGATGAATTTATGTAGCTTATGTGTAGTTATCTTCTAGTCATTGATTGGCATATTCTGTATGCTGTATATTGATTAGGGGGCGGGGTTTATGTCAATTTTAGGGTTAGTGATGTCACTAACCCGAGAGGAAGCTTGTGTAGTCCCTACCAGCCGTTTGTTGTAGTCCTTAAAAAGCAATTTCTTTAAAAGAAAATATCTCCCTTTGCTTTGAACTTTGAGCGTTGTAACTTTGCAGATGTTTATTTCTCCAACAGCAACGTCCATATACCTACCCCTACCCTTAAAACAATGCAAATATAGTGTTAGCAGCACAATCTGATAGGTAGCAATTGACACCAGATCAGGTCTCACTGAGGTCGGGGTTTATTGATCTGCCCAGAGTTCACAGGTCAGAAATATGACTTTGAGCGACATTACAGATGTTATTTTCGAGTAGGACATGGAAAAATCCCAATTCCGAGTTGTCTGGAATGCAGCATAAAATGGCATTGTTTAACACTGTACACGTTTGGCACCACAATGCAAGTTAACACCGCAAAAACAGTTTCATAACCCCAGATTTAAAAAAGGTGCTTACCAAGCTTGAAATGTTTCTTTACCCGGGGTTAAAAGCGGGGTTTAGAACGAGAAGCGCTTTTGAAAACTTATTTCCCCAGTTTCAAAAATTACTTTTACAAGTCCATTTGTTATTTTTGTAATTCCATTTGGTGATGCTAGTGGCACATAAATTACACACTGCACCTTTCCAGCTCTAGTTACTGTCAAGAGGTCATTCGTCTTTTTACCTCAATCTCCTCAGTGAGGTTTGCCACTGGAATGACAGAGCCGTCTGTTTTGGAAAGGGACAAACCAGCCACAATACTATGAATGGGCTGACCTTCAATCCATGGATCGATGTTAAATTGTGCCATCTGTGAAAAGAGGACAGGTGTGTGTACTGTATCATATGTGTAAAGTATCTGTAGTACAGCATTGAATAAAATGCAGACCTATATTATATCATTGTTATTGTAGAAAGGGTCAAAACAGGTGCATTTCTAGGATTTCAACTGAAATCCTGAAATTAAAGCAATGTGGCTCAGAGGAATATTTCATTTCAAAAGGTTGCATCATTCCTGACTAAATGTTTTTGAATAAACAAATTAAAATAGTCTGCTGTACATCAGGAATAGTGACATTTTTAGTTGCACTTTTAACTAATAGGTTTTTAATGGAAAAATGAAATGGAAATGAACTCAGAAATCTTACACTTGCTGATGTTTCCTCAACAAACTTGAGTAAATAATTATATGAAAGACAGGAGGGCTATGGAGCAGGCCAAATAAATGATCTCATTAAGTCTTGTATAGATGTTTTACGGCTTGTGGTGAATGACAAACACTCACTTTCACATCCACTGGCTCATCTACAGGCAGTATTATATCAGAGCCCAGATTTGGAAGCTTGAAGCTGGTTAGACTGTTCTGGACACTGAAAGGCTCTTTCTGGAGGTTAGGTGGAGATAACCTAACCAGGAAAAAAAAAATCAAAACTCACACAAAATGTTTTCAATGTTCAGTTTTATTTCCACTGATCACAGTGATTAATTGAACTCTGATTGTCCTACCTGTTGACGTAAACACTGACATGAGGAGTGATGATGATGTCGGGCTCCAGATCAGGTAATTTATTTATTAGCAGGAATGACTGCACATTGTCCACTACATTGACCACATAACCATTGATGTCAGACTAAAAGGAAATGAGAATACATCAGTAGATTTCTTCACTTAGTTAACTGTTTAAGAACATGATAGCAGGTAGTCAACACCTAGTCATTAACTGGTCCACACTGCTAGATAATCTCGGATCAGCAACAAAAAAAGCTTCTGTGTCATGCAGTTTAACATGGACTGAACAAAATTATATTTTGCATCAACTTAAAAAAAAAAAAAAATCTAATTTGTTACAGCCACATTTATTATTTATCTCTCAAATTATATTGTTTTGCATCAAACCTCAAATTTAGATTAAATATTTGAATCCAAAATATTTATTTTCCCAAAGACAAAAACATTGACACAAAGTAAAAAGATTATTTATTATAAAGGCCATACAATTTACTTAATCAAAGTGATATTTCTTTGGGTTTTTACATCTTAATTTCACCAAGCGTTAAATGAACTATACTGTGATAGTAGAATTTTTATAGAGCCACTAAAGGGACATGGTGATGGAAAAAATGTGAGATGGGAGGGAAAAAAAAATATGTCAATGCGTCTTTGCGTTCTCTCGCAAAGTTTTGCGCTCCCCCGAGAAATTTGCATTGGCTCGCAAAGAACTCAAACGTTTCTTGGGGGAACGCATCATTTGCAAGAGAGCATTGACTTATTACTATTTTTCCTCCCATCTCATCTTTTTTTCCACCACCATGTCCCTTTAGGGGCTCCGTACATTTTAACTTAAGATAAGACTAAAAAACACTTTGTTAGTCAGTGTTTAACATACTTTACTTACTACCAATTTGAAAGACCTTCATTTTTGTGATGTCTTTTTAAAATCATATTTTCTGTTATGTACTTAAAAAAAACACCTGAAAAATTAAATAATAATTAAACCCAGATTAATTTCTGCAGTCAGTGAAGCTAAACAGTGTGTGTTCTGCACTTCAACACTCTGATGTCAAGCGAAAATGCACTTTATTTGATCATGTGCTAACTTTGCAACTACATGTCAACTAACTCTCATTAGAGTATTAGTAGACTAGACTGTTAGGTTGGGGGTTCAGGTTAGTAAAGTAAGTTAACGTAGTAATGTCTGTTGGAGGAGCATCAAAATAAAATGTTAGCAGATATTTAGCTGACAGCCTACTAATACTAATGAGAGATAGTCGACATGTAGTTGCACAGTTACTTATAGTTAGTAAAATGTCTAAAGTGGACCATCGAAATAAAGTGTTACCTTTTTTTCTATGGGGAACAAAACATGCTTAAACCGGAAACTTTAAACAGTTTGATTTTTTTTTTCAGTGTGGTCTTTAAACCAACAATCCTAAGAAAGAATAGATCTGCAGGTTTAATCAGACAATTTTTGTAAAAAAAAAACGTACCTCTTTGTCGTTATTGAAGGCACCGAGAATGTGACTAGCGGACTCAAGGAGGATTTTGACTGTTCCAGTTAGTGCAATGATGTTATCTGGAGTCAGATCGAAGGATGTGAGGGATTCACTAAGAACCTCTAGTATGGAACCAGCAAGCTCCTGTGAAAGAAAAATGCCTCATCAGCCATTATACGTAACATTTAATCACATGTCTAATGATGTTTTTGGTCACAGTGCTACCTGAGCATTAACATTCACTTTGCCCTCATCTTTAATGATGCTCTTCAAAACATCAGCATAGAACTGTACGTCTGAGGGTTCCTGGAGTTCCTCAGAGTCTTCTAACAATGCACTTATATCTAAAAGAAGATCCTCTTTGATCTGGAAGTGGGAAATGGATATTTGAGAATATAGATTGGTGTGGAAAACCACAAAAACACCTTTTTTCATTGCTAGACCTACAAATTAAGTCTTGTTAATTATATATTTTTCATCCTTTTTACCTCTTCTGTGTCGTCTGCTCTATTAGTTAGAGTCAATAGTTTTTTGACGTCTTCCTTGAGCTTATTCTTGTCTATCTCTATTAAGGAATAGACTATGATGAACTCCCCATAAGAAGTTGTTCCACCTTTTTGGCCTAAATCATACAGAAATAGTTATTAGATGCCCTTTGCACATTGATGTAATGCATTTGATTCTGTATTAAAAAAAAGTGAAATCAACGCACAAGCCACCACAACGAGGATGTCCTTCTTGAAAGATCCAATCTCTTTAGCTTTAACTTCCAATGTGTCATCATCATCGTCTTGTAGTTTCAGCACCTTTTTGCCATTTTTTAAGCAGTCTTCCTTAAAACTGTCTTCCTAGAAGCAGAACAATGTATATGTGAAAAAAGCCAGTTATTATAAAAATTAGAGAAGCATCTGCATATCATTGCAAAAGTTAAAAAGCTATAGCAATTTGATTCAGTATATAGTAATGTTGAAAATAACATCATTTGAAATAGACAGTACTTACCTTCTTTTTCTTTGACTTACTGTCTCCTTCCACATACCAGTTAGTTTTATCACAGTTAGGGTTTTCTAGCTTCAAATAGATTTTATCAGGCTTATTTATACAATTTGAGCAGCTGGGAGAAAATACAAATACATACAGATCAACTTTCTTCATAAACTTCATCCAACAAAAGTTATGAAAGCCTCAGCAAGTAAATACAACTTTTTTTTGGATACACTTTATTTCAATGGTCCACTTTAGACATTTAAGTAACTTTGCAACTACATATCAACTAACTCTTATTAGAGTATTAGTAGACTGTTAGGTTTGGGTTAGTAGAATAAGTTTAAGTGTATTTGCAAAGTTATAGTCAGTAGAATGTCTGTTGGAGGAGCATCAAAATAAAGTGTTAGCAGATATTAAAGAGACAGTCTACTAATAATGTTACTTGTAGTTAGTAGAATGTCTAAAGTGGACTACCAAGATAAAGTGTTACCCTTTTTTTCCCAGAGTTCAAGGTAATGGAAAATAAACGTCACAAAAATGTGTCTTACCTGATTTTCAAAGTGGCTGTATCCTGTCCATCAGAATAACAAATCCCTTTCTCATCTGGTTTGTCTTTACCCCCTTTGCGAGTGTCCTGTCTCTGAGTACTTTGATACTTAAAAAGGTTTAGGAAAGCAGCATTTAAGAATCAATCTTAATGATAAATTCATCCGTTTCCACATTGAAAATGACTAAAGTAAAAAATGTTAAATAAAGTAATGAGAATCCCTAGAACTATTACATAGATATTGAATTTGAGACAGACACCTGTTTAGGATTTTCAGTAAATAAATATTGTAAGTAGGGGGGAAAAATGTTCACCATTTGTTGGTTCATAATTTTTAATAACTAAGTCCATGAAATTTCCTAAAATCATTTCTTGTTAGAGGAAAGGTGTCATCATGACAAAATAAACCTTGACAAGCTGTTTAAAGACCTTTCATGAAAAATGTGTTTAAAGTGAATAAATAAAAGTATAAAAACGTATAACTGCATCACACTGAAAAATCAATTTGATCACCTTAACAAACGATTCTTCTCCACCATCATCTGCAGATCTTTTCACAATAACACCAGAGGCTTCTGCATTATGGAAAATATACATTGTTTGGTGAAATAGAAGTCAAGTCAACCATACCCTTTTTTTCATCCTAAACGCAGGTCTTCACATATAGGTTATTTATTCTAAGATTGATTCTAAAACGTATCATTAGTATGTTTCTCTATCCACTTTATTTTAAAATGCAGCCATTTGTAAATTGAATGTGTTTAAAAACAGTGTTTAATTGCATATATAAGTAAAATAAACAATATGAAGAAAAACAAATCATGCTTTGGTAAATGTTAAATATAACAAAATTAAAACAATGTCATAATTATGACATACCAAGTCAAAATTATGCATACTAATGGATGAGATAAAAGGCTAAATTATACGGAGCCTATAAGGACATGGAATGAGAAAAATATGAGATGGGAGGAAAAATTATATGTAAATGCTTTTGCTTTCCCCCGAGAATCGTTGCGTTCTTAATGAGCGAACGCAAACGTTTTTTTGAGGGAATACAACGTTTTTTGCGAGAGAACGCAGCAGCATTGACATATAATTTTTCCTCCCATCTCATGTTTTCCATCACCATGTCCCTATGTCATAACTATGACTTTTTATGTCCTAATTATGACTTAGGGACGGGTAACACTTTATTTTAAGGCGACAGTTACACATTACTACATGTTTATTACTATAGTAATAACAGTAAATTATGCATAATTACAAGTAACTAACCCTAAACCAAACCCTAACCGCAACTCTATAGTACATGTATTTAATTAATATTACTCAGTACTTATTTGAGCAAGTACAATGTAACTACGTCACCTTAAAAATGTCAAAATTATGATTTGCCAAAGCACGATTCTTTTCTTAAGTGGCAGAAATGGGCTTTCGTAAAAACGCACTGGTATGTAGCGCAAATAGTTTACGGCATGTCATAATTTTGACCTTTTAAAGTCATAATTATGACTCAGAATGTATGATTCACCAAAGCATGATTTTTGGGCTTCCATAAAAACACGCTTGCTTTGTAGCACAAAGTTTTACTCTGAGTTTAACCGTTTACTGCATGGATAATATACTGTGCGTTAGAGAATATAAAAGAGCTCTCACGGCTTTTGCAGTGGTATTCCACAGACAGGTAACTTCCTAGGTCAGGACACGGCTCTCCAGAAGATGAACCGTCTGCCACAGCCGTGCAAACCTGCTGTCCATTACACAGCTCTTGGAAGGCAACAACAAACCTCATCATTACTATTCATCACTGTAGCCAGCCAAAACAGCATTACTGAGATGCAGTAAAAGAACAGATGCAGAGATTCTCAATGCTTTTTAAACACTAAGCACTTTGACAACAACAGTAAAGTACTATTGAAACAGAAGAATCATCTTCACAAAGAGATTGCCTGAATCCTCTGTAAATATGTATGTTCACAAATAAATATGCTCACAATTCTTTAGCCTAATGAGACTTTTTTCAGGTCCATTAGTTCCTATTGAACTATCAATACATTGGTCTTTTTTTCCAAGTTCGCTTTGTTTTCCAGCTTTACATGCAGTATGATGAAATATTAAACCGCAGGAGCCCTGCATATTCAGGTAAAAGAAGCTCTGTTTGCATTTCAGATTTCATATTGTTTGCTCTGCATTCGAATTAAAAGAAAGAAGCCAGAAAAAGAGCATCAATTCACAAGTACCACACAAAAGCACTGTCTGTCCTTGACAGGTGGAGACACTAAGACTCATTAAAGGTTTAGAAATAAAAGGATGCTCTCGGATTACCTATGTAGGCCTACTAAACACCTGCAATAGTTCACGAGGCTGAATCCAGCTTCTTATTCGCAGCTTCTTATTGACGCTATCCGTTCCACCTTAAATGACGCGAACTTCCGCGTTTGCTGGCTTCTTATTGACGCTCAACTTAGGGACCGTGCGGTTTTCTCTTTTTCGCGTTTTTAAAGGGATTGTGTTACTTTTGGGTCTATATTCCGAATAAAATGATAATAAAAAATGTTTAAAAGCAAATAACACTGATATATCAGCGAAAATGGACTGTACAAATATTAAAGCACATAAATATAATTAGGCTACATTATTCTTTAATTATTGTATGTCATCAGCTCAATTTAGGGACCGTGTGGTTTTTCACTTATTCACACTTATTAGAGACCCTGTTTGTATTGTTTATATTTTTCCAGAAAAGAATAATAAAGTATTTTGAAAGGTAAATAAATAATAATAACACATAAATGTCTGTTAAAATATAATTAGGCCTACATTATTCTTTAATTATTGCAAATAACATCATTTGAATGTATTCAATACATGTTTTTTTTAAATTATTATTATTATTATTACAAATTAGAATTTCACAAGGTACTGAGATTATGCTCCAGCTTGGATCCAGCCTCTTATGAAGACTTCAGATGACCCAGCACATTTGAATAGATGAAACCTACCCTTGCAAGGACTCCAGAACATCAAACATGAATGATTATACAAAATGATCTATTTATAATTGCTTTAACACATTAATTTTGCTTAGATGCATATATGATATTTGTAAATACTATAATTTGTGGTATCTTATAACTGTACTTTCTGATATCATCTCATTAAATCCTATTGTGGTTTTGTAACATAGAAACCTGCATTTTCTGTAAAGCTGCCTTGAAATTATATGTATTGTGAAAAGGGTTATACAAATGACTAATTAAATTCAATTGCATTGACTTGAAAGTGCCATTGCATGGTTACTGTACATTAGAAAGATATGGACCCAATCTGACAAAATACAGAAGAGTTATCACATTGTTGGCCTATTTGGTTTTACTGATGTTTTACCCTGTATCTGCTTGAATATAATCATGCACAATTTCACGTTTTACTGTATAAAAAGCCATTGCATTGTTGGCTCAATTGGGGGCTCTATATCTTAGCTGTATTTGATGGAATTTTTTAATTTTGCACTTTAGACAGTGCACAATAAGCCGCCTAATGCATTTTCTGCCCATTCTGCGGCGCTGTTTCTCGGCCGCCTCAGAGGGTGCGTTAAATTTGACATTGTCCCATTAGACTAGAGCTCCTACTCTGACGAAATCCACATTTTGAGCAGTTTTTACTGTAGAATTTTTTTTTAATGAATTTTTTAATTTTGCACTTTAGACAGTGCACAAAAAGCTGCCTAATGCATTTTCTGCCCATTTCGTGGCGCTGTTTCTCGGCCGCCTCAGAGGGTGCGTTAAATTTGACAAAGTCCCATTAGACTAGAGCTCCTACTCTGACGAAATCCACATTTTGAGGAGTTTTTACTGTAGAATTTTTGTTTAATTAATTTTTAAATTTAGCACTTTAGACAGTGCACAATAAGCTACCTAATGCATTTTCTGCCCATTTCGTGGCGCTGTTTCTCGGCCGCCTCAGAGGGTGCGTTAAATTTGACAAAGTCCCATTAGACTAGAGCTCCTACTCTAACGAAATCCAAATTTTGAGCAGTTTTTACTGTAGAATTTTATTTTAATGAATTTTTGAATTTTGCTTTTTACAGTGCACAATAAGCTGCCTAATGCATTTTCTGCCCATTCTGCGGCGCTGTTTCTCGGCTGCCTCAGAGGGTGCGTTAAATTTGACATTGTCCCATTAGACTAGAGCTCGAACTCTGACGAAATCCACATTTTTAGCAGTTTTTACTGTAGAATTTTTTTTTAATGAATTTTTGAATTTTGTACTTTAGACAGTGCACAATAAGCCGCCTAATGCATTTCTGCCCATTTCGTGGCGCTGTTTCTCGGCCGCCTCAGAGGGTGCGTTAAATTTGACATTGTCCCATTAGACTAGAGCTCGAACTCTGACGAAATCCACATTTTTAGCAGTTTTTACTGTAGATTTTTTTTTTAATGAATTTTTGAATTTTGTACTTTAGACAGTGCACAATAAGCCGCCTAATGCATTTCTGCCCATTTCGTGGCGCTGTTTCTCGGCCGCCTCAGAGGGTGCGTTAAATTTGACATTGTCCCATTAGACTAGAGCTCCTACTCTGACGAAATCCACATTTTGAGCAGTTTTTACTGTAGAATTTTTTTTTAATGAATTTTTGAATTTTGCACTTTAGACAGTGCACAATAAGCTGCCTAATGCATTTTCTGCCCATTTCGTGGCGCTGTTTCTCAGCCGCCTCAGAGGGTGCGTTAAATTTGACAAAGTCCCATTAGACTAGAGCTCCTACTCTGACGAAATCCACATTTTGAGCAGTTTTTACTGTAGAATGTTTTTTTAATGAATTTTTGAATTTTGCACTTTAGACAGTGCACAATAAGCTGCCTAATGCATTTTCTGCCCATTTCGTGGCGCTGTTTCTCGGCCGCCTCAGAGGGTGCGTTAAATTTGACAAAGTCCCATTAGACTAGAGCTCCTACTCTAACGAAATCCAAATTTTGAGCAGTTTTTACTGTAGATTTTTTTTTTAATGATTTTTTTGAAGTTTGGTTTTTACAGTGCACAATAAGCCGCCTAATACATTTTCTGCCCATTTCGTGGCGCTGTTTCTCGGCCGCCTCAGAGGGTGCGTTAAATTTGACAAAGTCCCATTAGACTAGAGCTCCTACTCTGACGAAATCCACATTTTGAGGAGTTTTTACTGTAGAATTTTTGTTTAATTAATTTTTAAATTTTGCACTTTAGACAGTGCACAATAAGCTGCCTAATGCATTTTCTGCCCATTTCGTGGCGCTGTTTCTCGGCCGCCTCAGAGGGTGCGTTAAATTTGACAAAGTCCCATTAGACTAGAGCTCCTACTCTAATGAAATCCAAATTTTGAGCAGTTTTTACTGTAGAATTTTATTTTAATGAATTTTTGAATTTTGCTTTTTACAGTGCACAATAAGCTGCCTAATGCATTTTCTGCCCATTCTGCGGCGCTGTTTCTCGGCTGCCTCAGAGGGTGCGTTAAATTTGACATTGTCCCATTAGACTAAAGCTCCTACTCTGACGAAATCCACATTTTGAGCAGTTTTTACTGTAGTATTTTTTTTTTATGAATTTTTGAATTTTGCACTTAAGACAGTGCACAATAAGCCGCCTAATGCATTTCTGCCCATTTCGTGGCGCTGTTTCTCGGCCGCCTCAGAGGGTGCGTTAAATTTGACATTGTCCCATTAGACTAGAGCTCGAACTCTGACGAAATCCACATTTTTAGCAGTTTTTACTGTAGATTTTTTTTTTTATGAATTTTTGAATTTTGTACTTTAGACAGTGCACAATAAGCCGCCTAATGCATTTCTGCCCATTTCGTGGCGCTGTTTCTCGGCCGCCTCAGAGGGTGCGTTAAATTTGACATTGTCCCATTAGACTAGAGCTCGAACTCTGACGAAATCCACATTTTTAGCAGTTTTTACTGTAGATTTTTTTTTTTATGAATTTTTGAATTTTGTACTTTAGACAGTGCACAATAAGCCGCCTAATGCATTTCTGCCCATTTCGTGGCGCTGTTTCTCGGCCGCCTCAGAGGGTGCGTTAAATTTGACATTGTCCCATTAGACTAGAGCTCCTACTCTGACGAAATCCACATTTTGAGCAGTTTTTACTGTAGAATTTTTTTTTAATGAATTTTTGAATTTTGCACTTTAGACAGTGCACAATAAGCTGCCTAATGCATTTTCTGCCCATTTCGTGGCGCTGTTTCTCGGCCGCCTCAGAGGGTGCGTTAAATTTGACAAAGTCCCATTAGACTAGAGCTCCTACTCTGACGAAATCCACAGTTTGAGCAGTTTTTACTGTAGAATGTTTTTTTAATGAATTTTTGAATTTTGCACTTTAGACAGTGCACAATAAGCTGCCTAATGCATTTTCTGCCCATTTCGTGGCGCTGTTTCTCGGCCGCCTCAGAGGGTGCGTTAAATTTGACAAAGTCCCATTAGACTAGAGCTCCTACTCTAACGAAATCCAAATTTTGAGCAGTTTTTACTGTAGATTTTTTTTTTAATGAATTTTTTGAAGTTTGCTTTTTACAGTGCACAATAAGCCGCCTAATGCATTTTCTGCCCATTTCGTGGCGCTGTTTCTCGGCCGCCTCAGAGGGTGCGTTAAATTTGACAAAGTCCCATTAGACTAGAGCTCCTACTCTAATGAAATCCAAATTTTGAGCAGTTTTTACTGTAGAATTTTATTTTAATGAATTTTTGAATTTTGCTTTTTACAGTGCACAATAAGCTGCCTAATGCATTTTC